CCCTCTTTTCACCACATTTGCAAAAAAGGAAGAGAATGCTTTCAGGCAAACCTTGTTCTTAAGAGAGGCTGAGCCATCTTGGATTACTGAGTTAGAAGGAGATGAATTACATGAGAATATAAGAAAAGCACTGATTCAGGTAAATTGCAGGACTGTTTGCCCTCTCTCAGGGCAAAGAGAATTAATTCAAGAGGCAGAGTATTTAACAGTGATAAAAAAATTTCTTTGCCACTAGGTACCACTGCATCCAAAAGCCTGGTGGGATTCCAAAGAAGAATTAGCAGCCAGGATTTATAAGAATACCCACAAATTCAGTAAATGGGATTTTAAATTAGAGGAATTACAAAGCCTATGGGTTTAAAACAACTGTTAACCAACTCAGAATCAGCTAAGATAGCACTTTCTTTAAAATCAGGTATTTTTACTCCTCTAACTTCCTTTGCAATTTCCTCTCAAAGAGCCCAGTTGAAGCCAGCGTCAGATACAAATGCAACTGCTCCCACCCAAAATGCACGTTCTGGAACTACCAAGATAGAAATGATAAAGAGACTGTTGTCTCAACTCTGAGTAAAAGAAGTTTAGAGGAAGTTTTTCCCCCAGAGGATGGTGAGGCACTGGAACAGGTTGCCCAAGGAGGCTGTGGATGCCCCATCCCTGCAGGCATTCAAGGCCAGGCTGGATGTGGCTCTGGGCAGCCTGGGCTGCTGGTTGGTGACCCTGCACACAGCAGGGGGTTGAAGCTAGATGGTCACTGTGGTCCTTTTCAACCCAGGCCATTCTATGTTTCTATGAATAAGACGTTCTCAAATTCCAAAGAAGCTTTTTTAATCATGCTTGTCAAGTCGTATTGATTGCCTCCATCTTAGGTGCATTGTGAGAACCAATCCAAGTCTCTTTGCAGGTGAGCAGGAGGAGAATGGGAACCAGAAGGAAGTAAAGGATTCATGGTTTTGACAGGACATCAGCTGCTATGAGGAATTTAACATGAACATCTGGTGGCCGTTATTCTGCACTACCCAAATTCAGTGGTAACTGAGACAGTACTGTTAAAATAATGAAAACCTTGAAGCATCTGGTCTGCCATGTCCTCTGGTAAGACATAACTGCATACATTCACACAAATGCCCAACGTACAGCAATCACTGACATCACTGCATCACAGAGGTCAAAAGCAGAGGCAAAAGCAGTGAGAAGTAGACAGAATGACCGAGAATGAAACAGCTTCTGAGAAAGGGGACAAACAAGATTTTTCTCCTTTCTTAAAATACTTTAGACACAAAACTAGATGAAAATACTTATTTCTACTTTATAGGAGCCCAGATTGCCATTCAGCAAAAACCAGGCAGAAGTGCACAAAATGATATTTAATTAGTGACTAAGTTTTCTGCAGCTGTTTTTTTATTTCCTTATCTGGGGGTTGGTCTCGATGATCTCTAGAGGTCCCTTCCAATCCCTACCATTCTGTGATTCTGTGATCTCCCATCCATTCCTTCCACAGAGACCACTGCTCATTTCCACTATTGGGAGAATTCAGCCTAGGGTCTACTTAAAATTCATTTTACAAAATATGATCTCAAACATCTCTTGTAGTTCACATAACACAATACATTCTGATTTCTTCTCTCTCCAAATGCCATTTTCACATTGGCCAGCTATCGTATTTATCATTCTGCATTCAAGACACTCCTCTAGAAAGGAAGCAAAATCTGTAGTCTGTCACTGTGGTGCGTTATTGTTAAATAGTACAAAAAAAATGGTAAGAATGGAAAACTAAACTTCCCCATGCAGTTTATTTATATGTAACGTTAAGAGAATAAAATAACATGGCAACATACTCCATCTACTGGCAAGATGCAGTAGTAGGACGAAGTTTTACTATACAGCATCAAAACAATTAAAGAGATAATATTGCTTTGCGTGCTAACGCCTATCTAAATCACTTAGCAATGATTAATTTAGAACACAAAACTCCACACTGCTGGTAGTTTCTTCTTCCATACATACACACAATGGAGAAGTCAGACTCCCCTCATTTGTGCCCAGTCCTAAGAGGCAATGGGCACTGACTGAGAAACAAGAAATTCAATTTGTAGTTAAAAAATGTACTGTGAAGGTGGTCAAGCACTAGAAAATGTAGCAGAGGCACGTCATGGAGCCTCCATTCTTTGACATATTCAAAACAGAATGGAATACAAGGCTGAGCAACCTGCTCTGAGCAGATGAGTTGGGCCAGATGATCTCCAGAGGTTCTTCCCAAGCACAGCAATTCTGTCATTCTTGGATCCTGCAATTACTTACACCAAGCTTTTGGCTTACATCCCACTGTGTGGGAACTTGCATTTTTCCCCAGATCCGCAGTCAATACTGATATATTTTAAATCAACTCTGGCAGAATTCTACCAAATGAATTCTAGCAATGCAATACTTCTGAAATTCATCTATATTGTAATACAGAATCTACTGTAGGTGTTACCTCAACAAGGAATATGAAGTTGCAGATTAAATTTAACTGTACGTTTTGTTCCACATCCCTGATAGCCCACATGGGCTGATCATAGGAAAAAATGTGAAATAAATTAGCAAAATTAAATACATCACAAAACAATAGGTAACTACAAATCTAAGTAACATTTCATTAAAAAATATGTAAAGCCTAGAAAACAACACGATCTGATTCTTTACTGTATTATCCATGTATTAAACAGAAATTTAAACTTGGCAAGGCTGCTACACTATCTGTAGACCACTGTGTTTCTAGTGAAAAATGCCTGACAATATTTTCTTTAAGGTTCTCAAACAGTTTACTTGAATTAACTCTTTTGAAGCCATTTTCTAAAATACTACAAAGCTCCTAAAAAATAATTTCATTGAGAAAACAATATCACAATTGGTGATTACAAATAAAGAATAAAAATGTAAAAGAAACAGCATGCTAGACCAGCCCCCCACCCCCACAAAAACAAACAAAAAAAAAAAAAAAAAAAAAAAGGAAAAAAATGAATTCAAAAAGGAGGGGAAAAAGAAGATTTTCAGTATTATTAATGGGCAAGTAAAGTCTTCCTATGTAATTAAAATATATCACTGTCCTTGCTCCTCTGCTTCTGCAATGTAGTTTAGTCTTTGAAAAATATTAGTTCTTGACCATGAAAAGATTCTTCTGCACCTCTAAATCATCTCTATTCTAAAATCATTTAAACTACTTTATTCCATTTATACAATCACAATCTGCCATGTAATTTTCTGCTATTTGAGCTCCCTTACCATCTGCCCAGTTCTGCTCTCGCTTTACTCCAAGCTCCTTCCTCCAGTTCCTTTTCTGCACTGCCTCTCTCAGTTTTTTTCAGTCTCTGCAGAACTTACCACATCAATCAAAATGTGTCCATATAACACCCAAATCCCTTCTACACATTTCTGATTGGGTCATCAGCTCCTGGTTCTCCCTCTCGACCACTTGATGCAGGACACTACTCCTGGATCAGCTACCTTTCCCAGTCTGATCCTAAAGAGGCAGATATTCACTTGATGGCAGTCCTAAACAACAGTCTCCAGTGTTCTGGGTTTTTTTAAACCATCTAAAGCACCAAAATACTAGCAGAAAAGGTCCATTAACACTAGCTCTTTTTCTGTTTACACACAGTAAAGCCAGCAAGTTCCTTCAGTTGATGGCTGTAGTCTCGAAACAAGTGCCACTGAACGCACAACAGAGTAACAGAACAGACAGAAGAGTTTCTTTATATACAGTACTGACCAGTAATGGCTGCTATCTCTCTTCCTGAGAGATGTCCAGCTTAAAAGTCTGTAAGCACTGCTGTCCGCTGTATACAATACAGAGCCAGGAAAGATCAGTAGGAGTGACAGTCTCCACTGTGGGTTTCATAGGAAGCTAAGAACACTGAGAATCCTCTCTCTCCTTTTTGCCAAACAACTCGGATCGACATCATCAATTTCTTATATAACAGTTTAGTTGAGCCATAACTCTGTGTGATTGATTTTAATTCTTTTAGCAGAAGAAATTACAGCTCTAGGAAAAAAAAAAAAAACTATACATACGTAATTAATTAAACTATTTCACATCAATGCTATCATTCACACAAACAAAATTCAGCTCTGGACAGTTATCTCCATGCCAAGAAAATGCTCTCACCAGGAAAAAAAAAAAGAACAATCCGGGAGAAGAACAAAAGCCAGGGAAAATGTGACTTTCCCAACCCAGTCTGCCTATTAAGCAGCAATTTTCCTGATTCCACACCTCCAGCAGGGAAGCCAGGCACAACAATCAGCATCTCTCTCATACACACCATTTCTTAGTATTTTCATGTTTATAACAAAATTTACTGTAGTGTATTTACCTGTTCTAATCAACTCACCTCTTGAAAGTAATTAGCACTGCCTCCAATTACCTACACCACAGTTAAGTAGTCACAACTCTTCATAATTCTAGAGACTTTGACCAATTAATTGGACTAATTCAGTAGGCTGCATCAAGAGTATCTTAACATCCTTCAATAACAGGTTGAAAACCAAGTACCATAAATGAAAAATAGCTGAATTTGTAACTACTTTTAAACTTTCAGCATAACAAAAAATCAGTACATACTGCAAATAGGAAGTGACCAGTGTATGTGAGAGTATAAGGCAGCATGCAGGTATGTATCTATGCAATGTCAACATAAATGTCTATAAAATGTCAATATACACACCATAAAGACTCAGTCAATAGTTAAAAGCAATGAGGTTACTGAATAGTAATAATAGCTCTTTAAAATTAAATATATAAAATACATTACAAGAACAATTATTCTTCACTACAAAAACAGAAATCCCTCTTCTTTACAGTTTCTTGGGCAGAAATTTCACACAGTGAGAAGCAGAGCATCTCTTAAATTTCCACGCCCAGTATTACCTCTGGAAATAACCCAGTAAGCAGCAGCACAGACAAGTGAAATGTCTGCCATCAGAGGTGCCTGTAATTTTGCACAATCATCACCCAAGGTACTCACATGCACATTTAGTTGCAGAGTTGGGCCACACCGCCATCGTGGGCTTCTGTTTGTTCCGAAATGTTTCTTCAACTCTAGCTTCTGTTTTGCGTACAGTGGAACCGTGAGGATTTATTTGTTCTGCTGTTACTGATAAGCCTGCACACAGAAGATAACCATACCTATTTAAATACACCAAGCTGCAAAAAGCTTGAATTTTAAAAGAAACTTGGAATACCATGCAATAAGAGCACATCAATTAATACTTAGTTGGACGTTCAAAACAAAGATTAGAATCAAGAGTATTTGTTTTCTACTAACAGAATAACTTACTGGCTGCATGCTCTTAACACAGTCAGCTCTGATGGCCTAGAAATATACGACTCTCTCACACTCAGGTCTCCAAAGACCGCACGCTCTTATCCACATTTCCTCCATAAAACAAATTCTTATTGACAGTTTCAATTTTTCCTAATTTTAAACAGACGATGTGAAACAAGTGGCAATTCATAACTGCACGGTGTGCCTTCTCAAAGACAGTATGTGAACAGAAACTTGCACTGCCATCATGATCTACGTTATGTAAAATGGATTCACTGCAGAGTCACCAGGAGCTCTTAGATGGAGAAAAATGTGACCCTGCTTTTAACAGGAAGACTGCTGTGCTTTCTGTGGAATAGAAGCTTATCTCATAGTTTCTACTATTTTACAGGATTTTTAATGAAATTTTTAAAATTCATATTTGGTTACAAACACTTTCAAGAAAAAAAATATATATATATATATATATGAAGTTTCCTATGTATGAATGAGAATTAGCTATTCATCCACTGTAACAGTGTTCTTAAATGCCATAACATGACTCCAAGAGAAGCCAGAATAAAGTGACTGAGAGCAGGCAAGAAGCTCCAAGACTGACAGAAGCCAAAATAAAAAGATTCTCAAAGCAACTTTCAGTTAGCATTTTAAGCACAAGTATCCTGGAATCATTACAAATATTTTAAACTACATATCAAATATATTTACTCAAAGCACTCATCGTTTCTACCTTGCTATCTGCTGGTTTCAACAACAAGCTGCAAATCCAAATAACCTTGTATATATTTTTTATTTACCAGCTTAGGTTTACATGCTTCCAACAACAGACAAATTTCTGTAATACAAGAACAAGATATTCTAGTTTAAACTTCTAGACACTAATTCTGCCACTCTGCAGTACTGTAAGATTTGTCACCAGTCACAGTACTAAATAAAATCAACAGATCTGACAGAAGTGTAGAAAAGATAATTTTGTTTGGAACTGTGGGGAAAAAAAAAAAGGGAGGGAGAAAATATCCTGCATTTTAAAGCTATGTAAGATTGCTAACCAGGTTGCCAAGATAATTGTGAAGAAAATGGATATAGAGTTTTTTAGCCTTAGTCTTCATCTCTAGTAGTTCCTGGAAACCAATTAAGAGCTAATAAATGCAACATTCAGAAAAATCAATGGCTTTTCAACTGGGCAAAGATTAAGAAGTCTACAAGACGTGCCACTTGCCTTCCGAAGTCCTATGTGTTCAGAAATACTTCACAAAACTGCCAGAGAATCTACAGAAGCCTCACCAGATCAGCTCATTTGAGTCCTTCCAAATCTCAAATTGAAGTCTTTCTAATGTAGCTGAGAAAACATTGGCCAAGATCTAACCAACTTTGGAGCTTGTTCTTTTTTTCCAGGTGGACAAAGTTGATTTCTGATGGTCACATTCACCACTCTAGCTCAATCTGCGACTGCAATACTACTTTTACCTCTTCAGGTTTAAATAAAAATTGAGCTGCTAGTGGATTCCAATTAGCTCTTGAGAAATCTGCAAGCAGCAACTACAAACTCTAGTTGCTCTCTGTAACACCAGACCCTTATACACAGCTAACTTTAACCTCAGAAGAAATAACCTTCAGCAATCACGAGGAACTCACAGTGGATAATTAACTGAGCATAGCTCTCAGTGTGATACTAAGGCCAGAATTATGAACATCCTTTTAACAGAAAAGTATAAGTTCAAATTTACTACCACAGTGAATGACAATTTCAGATGCACATTGGAAACTCAAACAGGATTAAACAAAAATACACGACTGAATTGGAAAATAAGAGGAACAGCATCCACTGAAAGCTGAAGAGAAAGCCTACAGACACTTGCTTAGTTCAAGGAAATTTATTAATAAAGGGTCTTCAACCTACTGACAAAAGTATTTCAGAAACCTGCAAAAACAAGAGTGGTCATAGCCAATTTAGAAATCTAATAATGCAAGTTTTTCTTATCTCTTGGTTGGTTGGTTTTGTTTTTTTCCAAAGCAGGAGTTGAAGCAGTAAACGCTTTGGAAGGCAAAGCCAGAATTACTGAAACAAGTAGGCAATAAAAAAAGCTGGATTTTTCTTTTTTTTTTTTTTTTTTTTTTAAAAATAAAAATTTTAAAATTTTAACAACCTTTCACTATTTTTAAAAAAAAAAAAAAATCACGGAGGTACAGAATTTCTCCTGTAAATGAAGCTGTTCTGAGAGCACATCTGGGTTTTCAGTTACCTACTGTGGTCAACGTTAGAGCTATCCATAGACTTGGGGGTCTATAAACTACAAGCTGAACACAACTGCACTAATATGAACAAAAATGAAGTCAGTGCCCCAACAGAGGGGGCTGTATTTCCTGATTCTGGGTTATTAGACTGTCAATCTCATTTCTCTCCTCAGGGTGGATTTAACAGACATTTCCTAATCCAAAAAGTCAATGTATTATCACCAAAAGTACACTTGGACACATGCCAGGCTGAACTGAAAATACAGTGTTTTAAATGGTATTCTCCCTAATCTTAATTGTTAATGCATTGCATTTCTAGAACACAGCTCTGGTGTCACCACACCTTCAATTAGCACAGCAGTCCCAATGCCTATCTACCTGTTCACTGCGTTCAACACTGCTTTCTGTAGCCACAGGCACTGCATTCCTCTTTTGTAAAGAACAGCGTTTTATCAGATAAACTCACACAGCTGGGAAAAGTAGACAAGTTTCAAGCTCAGCCATCCTTTAACAGCACTGCCCAAGACTGACACGCACTCCATTTTCCATTTTAAATTTAATTTTTTATGTGGGCATTTGTAATTGTCTTCTATCCTATTTATGCTCTGTTATGATAAATGAAGCTAAACATACCTCTTTTTCTTCTTGCTTCCTTGATTTCTTCACACATCTTATTAAATTCTGGATCCAGTTCAGCAGCAATGATAGCATGAGCAGTGTCCTTCAAAGTACAAGCTCTATGTCTTATTATTTTATCTAGAAAACAAGCAGAACACTTAGTACTTTTAATCACAATTAGTAAAAGACTTATCATTTCTACGTAAGTTTGTTCTGTACATGACAACATTGATATAGATGGAGCTGGAAAACAGAAATACATGAAAATGTACACGGATCAATAACAGCGTGCTCAAAAATTCCAACCCAGCAATGTTAAAAATATAGTAGTTCTCAGAAGTACAAACTGTTTATTTAATCAATAGTGGCATTTCTAAACAAAGGCAAAAGATGAAAGATGAACACACTCAAATCAACTCGCAGCTCTTCAAAACTCACGAGAACCAGCAGGTGTCGCCAGTTCCCCCAGGCAGATCTACACAGAATCATGGAGTGCAATAAGGGTGCCCCAAGTATCAAGAGACTTGTCCAGGAATAAATTCACTCCCTAAGGAGGTAACATCCATCTATTGTCAGCAAAATCATACTGGACACCCTCTGAATTTGTACGGCAGATCAGGACTACATTCTTTACTTTTTTTTTTTTTACTTTTTTTTTTTTTAATTGTTTAATTTTTCTTCAACAAATGCTATAAAATTCCATCTCATGCTTCACCAGATTGCTGCTGATAACGAATAGTTATTTCTCATTTTGACCTGCTCCGGAAAAACTGGCCAAAATCTCTTGGAAATGCACAAAAGAAATTCTTCCATTGCTGTTGCTGTATTTGAGAAGTAATTTTGACTTAGCAAGTTAAGCCATATGGGGAGAAAACTGACATCTAGAATGCTGCTTTTCAGTGAAATCTACAACACCATTTACTTTTAGCACAAACATATTTAATTTGTCAATTCATCCACACTGAATTGCTTTTTCCAGCTGATGGATGTACTTATACAGCAAACACCAACATTAATCTCTACAGCGTATTATATAATTAGCATATTTAATCTGTTTTAATAATTACTAAGTACAACAATTAAGAGTATCAATGAACATTTACTAAACAAGGTTTATAAATCTAGAAACAGTATATTTTACAGATGAGAGGGCAGCTGAGTCAAAAATAATACCAACATCCAGCCCAATCAAGCCCTCAGTATGTTTTCTGAGGAAATCTACTACTGTTTTAATTGACTGGAAAGCAGATTTATTCCTTTTCTTTTCTTTAACACACATATACTTGTGGAGCATCTTGATTTGTGATCACAAATAAACATCTGCAGTTTGTTGATGTGTAAGTCAGTCAGGAAATAAAATACAAAACAACCTACTAAAAGGAGGGGGGAAAAAAAAGCCTCTGTAGTGATCAAAGCTCTACATGGAGTTTAAGTTGGGTTTTTGATATTGATTAGAAGCTTACTGTTGAAATAGCCTTCCCCAAAACCAGGTTTGTAGAGTCACGTTAACATGTCATACTTGCATTTAACACAACAGGTTTTTATATAAACCTACCAAAAAGCACCATGAATGTAAGCACAAGTTGAATCACACGACCACAGATGACCATACCACCAACCGTATTCTATCAAACAATACAGGGGCACAGATTCCCAAGTCTACACCAATATTTTACTGAAATAGCAAATGTTATTTTGCATCTTTTGAAGGGAACATTTGACTGAAATACTTCTTTTCTCACATCCTGTGATAGGCAAGACTTTCCCACAGACGTTTTGAAGATGCAAACACTAATCTGTCTAATACACAAAGGTTGTTCCCATTCCTGAAGAATGGAAAAAATGGTCAAATAATGGAGGGGAAAAAGAAAGATTCTCTTGTTGAGATCTACCTGCAACTGTATAGAAAAATAAATTTTAAAAGAACAAAAAGAATCCAGTTTTGAGCATTTATGTTCAGTATATGAACTGTTTACTCCAACTGCCTTTCCAAACTGAATGACAGAACAGAACCAGGTACAGTATGAAACTCTTGCAAATTCATGCATGAGACAAAGGAAGGATATAAGCCCAGCTTTAAAAATATGAATGTTTATAGCTTAATAATCAGTTAATGGATTTTTTTTATAGCTTTATGATCAGTTAATGGATTTGAACACATATAATGCCTACTCAGAATAGAAATGATGTACTGTTCCAGCAGTGTATTCATACAAAAACTCATGACATCTTACATGCCAGAAGAACAATATATAATCAATCTGTGACAACGCAGAAGACAGAACTATCTTTCAACTGCCTTCTCAAAGTTGAGAAGCTACAATCAGAAACTTAACCTAGGAACAGCCAGATCCATTTCTCCTCATTTAATCCTGACATAAGGAAAAAACTAAAATGTTCCTACTTTGGCTCCCTATGCTTGTTTCCTAAAGCTCTTCTCTTTGGTTAAGCTCAATGAAAAGTTCCAACTCTACATTCTGCCCAAGCTGCCTTTGCTATTTCAAGTTTCTGCCACACCAAACTTGAGATTCATGTCACGATTCCTAGAAGACCTGACCTCCAAATCTGTTCTTTGGAGGTAGAGAGACCTGCTCTACAACTTCAAGAACCTCTTCAGACTATATTTCCCAGAACTGAGCAACCAAGCTCACAGATCCAAAAGGCCTAAAAAAGGAGAACAAAAGGTGTGAATTAATGCCAATTTTTCCCAAAGCCCATCATTAAGTCAAAAACATGTCGGTCACATGCAGGAGGTGTCACTCCCAGCCCTCACTACGTGAGCAGGCACTCTTCAGAGACACTCAGAGAATCCCATATGCCCATCAAGGCTTTGATTATCTCATAATTACACATTAGAAGTCCTTAAGCAGTGTTACCAAGAACACACTGAATCATTTGCTGAATTCTACCAGTGTATTATTTTTTTTTAGCTGTAATACAGAAAGCATCCATAAATCAAAGAAAGGTTTCTTTTCAAAAGCTATGAACTAGCACTACGTTCAGAAGGCACATGAAACATGAAAAACTCTCAACTTGAGGCTTCACAGCTACACAAATGCAAGGCATTCTTCTCACATGACCCTGGCTTTGCAAAGCTAGGATCTGACATTATGGGAACTAAACCGTGCAAAACAATTTTAGAATACAACATGTTTTTCAAAATAACCACCCAAGAGGATTAGTGCTCTCAGCATTCAGCTTACAGCTCAGAAGTACAGGAGAATGGGAAAGAATAACATCAAAAATTTGAGTTAAAAAATATACATAACCAGGCTATAACCTGGTAAAATTATTTCATAAAACACTTAAATGCATTGGTCTACAGACAGAGTCAGACTTCTGGTATCACAAATTTAAAAATAAAACTACATTAAAAGGACGTTGCTTTTGCATTTTAAATGTTTTCTTGATGATTCTGAAAGCTGCCAAATGAAAGGCTTTCTTTTAACAATATTCACAATAAGGTGGCCCCTGCAAAGAGTATAAAATATGCTCTTTCCTTTCAGTATGAACAGCTTCCCATGCATTTCATTCCACAAATTCTGCCTTAATTGAAAGCACAGTGTGACACTGTAGAGACCAAACCTTCTAAATCTCTCCTAACCAGCTGCAGCAACTTCCTTGCCTGATGATCTATCTCACTTTATTTCTATCCCCAGACAGACATTTCTTAATTTCTGTAGGTGCATTTCACATTTTAAGCCAATGAGAAAATAAAAGCAGACCACTGCCAGATTGTGTGTAGTATTCTCTCCGCAGCTCTCCAAATCGCAGTGGCTTTTGTTGCATATGCAAAGTCAATTCAATGAAAATGAGCTATTGAATTTTAAAAGGAGCTACAAAACCTAATTTATTAGAGAACAACTCTAAGTGCTGTAGCTCTTGTAACGTCCCCCAGTGCTCCAAGTGCCTTAGAACACTAAAAGCACAGACACTTAGGAAATTTGCTTGTTTATCTTAATTATAATAAAGCATGCAGCTTATTTAGAGACTAGAATAGTAACTGAATATGTGATTAAGTACCACGCTTTCAATTTAGGGAAGCCAAGATGAAGCAGATCTTACCTCCAGGATCTTTGTCTGGATTGTACTCCAATGCATTGCTGCATATCAGATCAATATCTGTTAGGAAATCCTTGGCTGTTAAGTAGTTGTGTTTATCAATTTTGGTTATTACTGTTGACAGGTCCATTGGCTCTTTGATAACTTCAAGGTAATCTGAAACCTGCAATCAAACAGCACACAAAAATGACAAAGGACTGTATTTGAACACTGCTAGTTTCATATCTTTGTAGCCTTATTCATTCCACATGCTTAGCCCCTACACAATAACTAAACAGTTTCAATAATAAAAGAAAAATTATGTTAAAAGTCAAAGTTTTAACAGGACTTCCAGTTTCTTCAGTTTCTCTAAAATGGAGCTGATGGTGTTTTTGAGGCACAGCATTTTATCTAAATGCATTTTTATTTCTAGTTTTTTTTTGTGACTGTTATAACACTATCTTGAGCTGGAAAGAGAAAACAAGAAGCTTCACCCAAAGAAAAATGAGGAAAACTGTGTGTTGTTCAAGTTTTCAGCAAACTTTTCATTAAACTGAACAGTCAAATTACCAACCTGTAAGTATATGTGATTAATTAATTCCTTCAATCAATTTCATTTTTTAGAAAAGTCAGGTTCTATTGATCGAAGACAGTAACTTTACAGAAGGGCAGTCTAAAGAGAAAGTATTATGTCAGAGTTCACAGCTTACTACAAGCTTAGCTCACAAATGGAAATTCAGCTTCCACTAGGGCACACTGAAAACATTTTACATAATTAATGGTACCATAAGGGGCTCAAGCTTGACAGTCAAATGTATCAGCACAGCTGCTGTAACAAAGTTCATAAAAAAAACCTATTAATTTGTTATTTACTTCAAGGCAGAAAAATCCTATAGGTGCATGTTTCACTGCAATTAAGGTTGCAATCAATTAGAAACACTGGCAGCCTCAGAAACAGCATTGCTTTTTTTCTTTTGAAATCACCCACGTATGATGGTAGCTGCCAAAATAGTGAGCAGTTACACACATATCCAGATCAAGCTGCAGTGGCTCTGTTAAGACTTAATAGGTTTCTTTAAATGAAGTATCTATAGATATTCATACAAAAATCTATTACAACATAAAATAACTTCAGTGCTTTAGTGCAGTGGACAGCAGTATGTAGCCTAACTCCCTAAGCACACTGAAATTTATGCTGAAAAATTCAAATGGCAAAAATTCTCCTTATGCCTCTCTCTATAGAAACATGATAATTAGTTCATTGAGTGGAACGCCAAGTCATGAGCTTCCTCTTCTCATTAGCACATCAGAAATAATCTTTCACTGGAAGCTGTAAACACTGCTGTTGTATTAGTCAGGAAAATCTCTGATTTGTCACACAGCAGCATTATTCCCTCTGCAACGCAAGCAGGAGTGGAACAAGCTTAACACTTCTTCAGAAAATCAGACAGCTCTTCTACAATGGGACAGAGCCATGCTTGAAAGGATGACATGGGACAAAAAGGGACAATTTCTAGTGCTGCCATACATTACAAGGCATGCAAAAAAATCCTGCTAATGTGATTTTATTTAATTTCTCCACCCACAAAGCCAGGACTGTGATTTTGTGGGTGTTCTGTTTTGGTTTTTTTTTGTGTTTTTTTTTTTCTCCCTAAACTTATTCATGTGTATTTGAACTGCAAATTCATTGGGGGAAAAAGAATTTTACCATGAGTACGATGGATTCCCTACAACTCCTGAGCAGTTTCATAATAAAAATACTCCTTTGACCATGCTCACACTGCAATGCCTTACTGAAGAGCTCCTCAGCCTTTCACACAGCTTTCAAACAAAAACAGCTGCACAAGACTGAGGAAAGCTCCCACTAAGAGGACTGCATGAGACAAAAAAATACGCTATTTAGGCGTGTGAAATTTACAATGCAAATTCATTTTCTACAGTGCTGTACTGCAAACATCTCATATTTGTCTCGTAGTATCTGCTAATAGAAATGTCTCATGAGAAACAAAAGACAAACAATCCTAACTACCAGACTTGCAGCATTTGATTTTTAAGTCAGGCTAAACCACGTCCTTTTCTTATACAAGCATCTGAAAATAGATTTGCAGATGGAGCCATCTGATCAGTTAGGTGTGCACACTATATAATCATCCAGCAAATGCCTTATAAAGTGCTACCATCTGCAATTAATGGCATCTGTAAGCATTACTGCTGAAATTATTCAACAATACTATTAATGCTTGCTACATTACAGAACACACAGATTGCTTTTCCAATACTATCATGCCTACAGGACTATTATGCTCTAAAAGCTTTCATTAAAGAATAGTATTTATGCTTCCAAATATTTCAGAAGCACTGGCAGGGATGGGAGTGGCATTTTTAAATGCTACTTTTAGTTGGAAAACTGACTGGAAATCACAGTTTCCTACAGGTTACTGGTACAAATAACATTCTCAAACTCCTTGCATCTCAATTGACGTGGCTGTGACCATCTCACCAGCTAAAACTAACAGCCTACATAGGAAAGATTACAGCTAAAACATTCATTTTAATTATTCACTTCTCCATTTCCTTTTTCAATTGACACTCTTTTTCTAATAACTTCAACTTCATTGTTTGCACATCACTGAAACAAGACCTCTTCAATATCCACCGGTTTGCTGAAGATGTTAAAGCGCTTGTCTGTAGCCAGCCTCTTGGTTACATCCCTGAGAAACAACCGCAGCTCTCTCAACGTGTTCTCTTCCTGGTCCTCCATTCGTTGTTTTTCTGCTTCCGACAGCTCACGGGCAGGAGATGGCAGTGCAAGAGGAAGAACTTCCATAGCACGAAGAGCTAGGGAAAAAAAACAAGAAGTCAGACAACAGAAGTATTAACGACAGCGCATTTTATGATGATGCCCCTCCAAATTCACTACGTGTTTAATGGGTCTCACCAACCAACCATCAATGAACTCTTAGTCCCACAGCCCCCCCATTTTCTAAAACCAGTAACTGCAATTCCTCCAATCCTCCTCCAAATAACCTTTCTGGGTACAGAAACATTGCCACCTATTACCTACACTAGCTGTCAGTTACTCGTGCCTTCTGAAAAGAAATCAGCATCAGAAAAGGAATCAGAAAACAAAACACTGAGATCACATTATTATTGGCTTTACTGTAATTTAGTTTACCAGCCTGTTTCCTTCTTGGTGGGGGCATTGCAGCCTCATCAAGAATTAATCCTCTGAAAAATCGCAATCTGTCTTCTTCACTTGGTTTCTGAATATAAAAAACCTCTTCATATTGGATTCTGAAAATACATTTCACCTACAAAAGAAAATAATGCTGTGTAAAAACTGAGCCTCCACTCAAAGTGACGTAATTAGCAACCATACAAAAATGCTCGTCACAAACTTTTCCACAATTAACCACATTAGAGAAGATAGGAAACTCTGTGTACAATCTGTGCACACTGAAGGAAGGGATGCCATCCAGAGGGACCTGGGCAGGTTTAAGAAGCGGGCCCACATGAACCTAATGAGGTTCAACAAGGCCAAGTGCAAGGTGTCACGCCTGCATTGGGGCAATCCCAGGTATGTCTACAAACAGGAGGAAAAAGGCGCTGTGGAGAAAGACTTGGGGGTCCTAGCGGATGAAAAGCTGGACATGTGAGAGCAGTGCGCATAGAACAACATCCCTTTGTCAGTTTGGGTCAGCTACAGAGTTCCTGCTCTCTCCCAGCTCCTTTTGCACCCTTCTCCTGCTTGATAGCTGAAAAGTTGGAGAGTTTTCAACACTCTTCCCCTCCTAAATGCAAAACACAACATTATACCAGCCACTATGAAGAAAATCAACTGTACTCCATACATGCTACTGGAATTCCATCACTGCCTTCAACAGCAGACCAGAGAACAAGCCCACGATGGGTTGAATCCATCAACACTTTAAAGGAACTATGTCATTTCTAAACAGCAAGTATAGTTCAAGAACTTGGCCTCCTCAGCAAAACAGTGTGGAGATTCTGACTGTCAGTAATGTGGAAGTACCTCCCTCATTGTAATAAAATCTGTAATTTTCTGTAAAGTTTGAAAAACAGCACAAAACAATGTTTTCATGTGATCAGAACATGTTGAATAGCACATGCATCCATAATAACACTGCCCTCCCACAATCAACTTACCTCTTCAGGCAATTCACTATACATGGACTCAGAGGTAGACAGCAGAAATATAGGGGAGAAAGATGGTATATCTTGCAGCAAGGTTAGAAAAGTAGCTCTCACAGTTTCACTGACAGCTTCCCACCAATCACCAATCTGAGGCATGTAAACAATACTTGGTACTGTTCTTCGAGCTTCACGAAAGATCTAATTAAAAGTAACAATGATGTTTAACTAAAATCGTTGTTATCCCCCATGAGAAGCAAAACTCTTGCAGACTAGGAAATGAGTTGTGTTGGTAATACTTGGGATACAAATCCTCCAGTAAATTAACATTATCTAATAATTAAGGCTTTCTAAGCAACTGTTTGCAATTGTTAGCTGTATCATTCAGTTATTTTACATCCTTGTGGTAGGCCCTACAAAAATACTGCTTGTTGTGTATGTTTTAAAAGCTTGTCAAGATTGAACTATCAATATGAAAATTAAACTGGCTTGCTATCCTTACACACCATAAAATTCACCACACACTTAAGCATTTACAGTAAGTAATTGAGCATAAATCCACAACACAATGATTTACACATAAACTAACAAAAATGAAAATCCGGAACCAAAAACCCAGATTCAATTTGCTTGAGATAAGGTTTGCGCCTGAGCAGTCATGTTAAAAACATGATTACTCTTATTAGTCAACAGAGATCTGAATATCCATCTAGAGAGATCTATATTTAAAATATGCCTATGAAAATCTGGCTTTTACCTAACACACCACTCAGCTGCCACTATTTAGATGCTACAGATCTGTTCCAGAATTACATCAGTTACCTATTAGAAGAGAATTTTAAATGTCACCTGTGCACACGATTCTTCAGGTGTTTTGGCACTGACTGAATAAAGTGCTGGCAGATCTAGCCTGTGTACAGAGAACTTCTCAAGAGTGTGCAATAGTGCTGGAGCAAGGTGTGAAGTCTGACCCGAACCCCTCTCTCCAGTTAGCAGTAATCTCGGTCGGTAAGAGGTTGGCTGGTGATAAGCTGACCTGTAACAGACAACAGTTAGAATGAACATGCCACTGTTACCAATGGAAATACATATAACCTCAATCTCTGCTTCAAGCCTGGGTATTTGTTTTGGGTCTTTTGTTTGCTAAGAATCCAAAAGACCAAGTAATGGACAACTTCCTACAACTGCCTAAAAAGATTCAACAAACTGTAAAATACTTCAGCACTAATTCAGCTCTAAGTAACTCAAGCCTTGTCTACTGCTTGAATTTCACAACAATTTTATTCAAACTCATCTGCAAAAATGTGCACATATTAAACTTATACATCATATGAACATACTTTCACATAAATGGACTTTCAGTCAAGTTATCTATTTGGTCACATCAAGTTCATGCATCTCTACAGTAACCTCAGAAATTTCAAGTTAATGATCTCATCCTCTAAAAATAATACTTAAGATTTCCAAGAAGAATGTAATGTGTTGTAATTTAAGAAATAGGATTTAACAAAAATCACCGTTCATATTCTACTCTTTTACTAAGTTTACTTTATGAAAGCAGAAAGACTGCAAAGATAAACCTTATTTTCATTCTTGCTACATAGAAGACATCCTAAGAAGGAGTTCATGTAAGGAATTTGGTATTAAATTAAATTTAGTATTAAAAACTTGACCACACACTTCTCAGAGAATTTAAATTATATCCTTATTTTTAAGTGTAGATTTCCATAAATGCTGCCCTGGCATCACTTTTTAGCAGAAAAAAATTTAGCATTTTTCCACAAGATGGCTCTACTGAACAGTACTACTACTGAGCAGTTCTCCTAACCTCATTTTCTTTATTAAGTAAACTCCCCAGAGAAGCTACGGAACATAGGCTAAAACAGTTCTAACTAAAAATCAAAGAAATGTTACTTTACAGTTAATTACTGTATGCAATTCAAATTGAACAGAAAGGATGCAGCCAAATTTCACACAATCTTTCCAAATTCCCATTTCCCAAAAACTTTCCAAGAAAAAAAAGGAAAAACTATGTTGAAAAACCTCAAAACATTTTTATCATTTAACCAAACAACTGCATACACTGAAGCTCAACAGTGCTTCAGACCAAGACAAAGCAAATCTCTACTGCCATCGTAATGTTTCCTACAAAGTAAACCTCTAAATTTAACCCTCAAAAATCACAGAATCATAGAATCCTTAGAGTTGGAAGGGACCTCTGAGGGCCATTTAGTCCAACTGCCCTGCAATGAACAGGGACACCACAGCTAGATGAGGCTGCCCAGAGCCTGACACAGCCTGGACTTGAAAGTCTCCAGGGATGGGACATCAACCACATCACTGGGCAATCTGCTGCAGTGCCTCACTCCTTTACTGTAAGCGATTTTTTTCCTCACATTTAACCTAAACCTATCCTTCCTGAGCTTGAAACCATTTCCCCTTGTTCTGTCATCACAGACCCTGCCAAAAAGCCTGTCCCTTTGTTTTCTGCAGCTCCTCTTTAGGAGCTGAAAGGCTGCTCTCAGGTCACCCCACAGCTCCAGCCCAGGGAAATATTCCTCAGTATCTCTTTTCCCAATGTGTGGTATTTCAAATCAATACTGCTTGTTACAATTGAGAATTGCTGTTAAGATCCTTACTTCTAAGACAAATCCATCTGTTCCAAGCCGTTTCTGATTGCTGTGTTCAGGACGTGGCCTTACCTAAGAGCATTTCAATCTAAAACCTCTAATCCGTGCAGTTATATTTTCCCTCACACAGAACAGCATTGCCACCACACCTTTATTACCTCTACTGATCTAAGAGTGCCATAATTTCATCCATCTGGTTAGAGACATTTAGAGAAACACTCACATTGTAAAATGAAGGTAGGGTTTATGTATAGCAGCTGATGACTGTTTCTTTGGTGATCCTGAGGGACAGCTCGTCTCAAAAATTGATGAAGCATTCTCATCTTCACTATCATCTAATATTAGACTTGGTACATCTGTTCCAAGAAATACATTAATTAGTCTCATCACTTATACTCACAACAAACAAGAAAAGGCATTACAATTTTCTTCAATTACAACACTTATTTTCAAGAGTAAGAAAAAAAATATTATAACTGTCAAAATGTAAGAACACAGAATAATAAATACTTTTAAAAAAAAAAAAGCAAATTAAATATTGCAGAAGTCTAATAATTACAAATTTACTCTTCAAGCCAGCAAGCAGAACAATCTCACAAACAAAAAAATGTTTAACTCGCTATGAATTGCTTCATTTAATTTTATTTTACTGTCAGAGATTTTTCAAGGATGAAGTTATGAAATTTTTAATTCCTCAGACTATAAAGAATTTTGTATTTATTTCTTTCATACTGGTGACCCAACTTTTACAGGTACACTTCTTCCAAAATTACTCTCTGCATCACCACGTGGACAATGTGTGTTTACAAGGAATTGTTTCCCACACTCTGACAATCTGCCAAAACAAACAAACAAACAAAAAACCCACCACAAATGAAACTACTACAATCAATGCAGCTAATCCTGAGTTCATATTCTATACTTCAACCTATTTTAATTCCTTTGCTAATGCATCAACATGATGAGGTAATTTCTACATAGTCCTTTAGAAACGAAAAGCTAAAAGACTGATCACATTCTAAAGACAGCCTCTGGGGACAAAAAAACTGCAAAAAATGTAAGCATGGCAGTAAACCAAAACAACCAGTTGACAGAAGACCCTTTTGAAAATTAGGTTCTGCTAAATTAACTACCATGGCTACAGTGGGATAAAGAATAGACTGCTGCCATAAGATAATGGAAAATCAACTGCTATGAGATCTTTATTTGCTCCTTGGAAAGGAATTTATTTCATGTTAACTTCAAAAACCATCTTCACTCCCTCAGCAAAATCAGTTTGCATGATCAGGGTGAAAATGGTCAGCAAGAGAAGTGCAGAGGTCAACAAAATACTCTGTAATGGATGGGCAAGCTTGAGAGCAGCTCAGCCACAGCTGCACGCTGCTGTTGCAGGGTAATCACCAGAGACCTCAGCAACACTCCAAGTTGGCCACAGCCATTTAGAAAAATGGAGTGCTGTGAAAAAAAGACACGAAATAAAGAGATACAAGAGTTATTCTCAAATATCTGACCCACAGCACATGTACTACTACCCTGAACCAATAAAGGCAGCACTGACAGTGTAGGACAGAGATGCCACCTAACAGCTATCCATCCACACATACAGTCCCAGGAAAAAGTGTTGAGACAACAAAAGTATTTGATGAGGACATGACAAGTCTCTTGGCAAACAGCAATGCAGTCACACTTTTGGCAAGCATCATAAAGTGAAGATAATGAAGGCCTACAAATCTCAGTCCGGTGCCAAGAACAAGCCCGTATAGCCCATATCCACAGGCATTAGGAAAAGCTGCTGGATATCTAACTCAGGGCAAAGACAGAAGCCCTTCACAGAATCACAGAAACACCAAGGTTGGAAAAGACCTACAAGATCATCCAGTCCAACCATCCACCTACCGCCAACAGTTTTCACTAAACCATGTCCTTCACTTCAAACCAATTGAATGTAGACCTCCTAACTCTTGGAGCACTGCAGAACTCAAGATGCAAGATTTTTGCTATACCAAATGTATACCCACAGGGTATCTCCTACGCTCATGCACTAAATATTCTCAAATAGAACTTTATAACAGAGAGGGGTTTTTAATTCAATTCTTTAATAACAATAGTATCCAAACTGAGCATTACCAAAAGGTAAGAAGTATGAAGGGAGACAAATTTCTTACACCATTCTCGTTTCAAGAGAACATAATGCGATCCAACCACAGCTGCAAGCATCCCTTCCCAAAGCTCCACCACTCCCTGACCCCACCTCAGGCCATCTCCACTCTTGAAATCTTCAGCTGTTCCAGTCAGCAGAAAAGTAACCCAACAAAAATATGTTTTTAAACGAGTTTGCCAATGAAACGATTCAACAAAGGGCCTGATGTGTACATGAAATTCAAGGGACAGAGGAAAAACTGGTCTATGGAACTGCTGCAGCCAGCACAATGATCAGCCTAAGCTGCCTGGGGTGCAGTCTGAAAACGTGTTCTGGAACAGGAAAGAAGAAGAAGTCATAGCTGTCACAGATCTACTTCATGACTAGACTATTTTCAAGTTAATTACACACAACCACAAGTAGCGTTTATAAAGCCAGGGGGATGAAGGCGTTTCCAAGTATGAACAGTAAAAAATATTATGTCAGAATACAAAGACATCAAAAACCAAACTAATTTCAACATTTAACTTAAGAAATGACAAGGCTAACTATTAAAGTATGTCTCCAAGAACACAAAACACAGAACCTACTGAATCACTGCCAGTCAAAACAGTCCGTCACGTTCCTTTTTACTCTCTGCTTCACTAACACACTCGTAACTACTCCCACTGCAGGAGAGTTCTGACACACTTCTGACCCCTCAGCACATTGGACTTCACTAATTTGGCAAAAAAAGCTAATGACACAACAGCTAATAGTTCTCAACTTGCTAACCTGGCAGAAACAGCTCCAGGATCATAAGTGTATCAGGCACTTCAAGGTGAGGAAATCATCAGGACTTCCTCATTATCCAGGAGATGACCACCCCACAGGCCCAGGGATCTTGTCTAACCTATACTCTCCACTTCTGAGCTCTGAGCTCCCCATAAAACTCCTTTGCAGCCTGTTTTATCCCACTAACTAGCAAAAATTGAGGACACGTAATTGACACTCAGGCAGGAGCACCAATTCCAGGTCCTAACATGCTGAGAAAGACTCTATTTAGTTGTTGTTTGTTTTTTTACCATCTGATTATGTTCTATTATTTCTCATTTAAGCTGTAAATCACTTAGGGATGTGGGGTTTTTGTTTGTTTGTTTGTTTTTCCAGATGACACTGAAACCTACAGCATATTGGTCTACATAGCTTCATTACACATGGATTCATTAAATGCCACAGCAACTTAAAATCCGCAAAAAAAAAATTAGGCAACAGACAAGCAAACTGCATTCACATTTGAACATAACACTAAACCAAACACACATCAGGCTGGAGGCTAGCAGTCGAAGAAAGCCAACTAACAACCCACATACCTTCACTTTTGTCACTCTGGCTGAACTCAGCGTGAGGAAACACTTTGTGTAAAACCTCAAGAAGGTCAGCAAAGGTACGTTCCAACAGTGGTCTGATCACAGGAGATAATGCGTGTCCTGAAGACGTCACGGCACGTTGGGAAGCAGGCACAATGTTCTGCATTGCATGATAAAAATCCTGCGCACTGAGAACTACTGACGAAACATCAAGCTGTAGCTTCTGACTGCTCACATAAATCTGGGGGTAGCGTCGTCTCAGGGCAATCAAGGCAGCCTCAGTGCAAAGTGCTTTTATGTCGGCCCCGCAGTACCCTGGTGTACAAAAAAAAAGAGAGAAAAACAAAACAACCTTGCATGAAATAGCACTGCTGTGCTGCATACATTTCAAGCATGCCTACAGCTAAAAACAACTGGTAATACTTCGTTGTTGAGGTCCACAAAGCATCTGCCAAAACATGCCAGGCTATAATCCAGTGACAGTGTTGTATATCAAATAATGTACAGTTACACTGAAATACAGACAGAAATGAATCCTATGCTACAGTTCAAATGACCTCTGTTTTCACTACACAGCATTTATCTTCAGCTCATGGTTTTCAGTCTGTCATCACTCTTTTTTTCTCAATGCTGTCTCGAGCATACTTGCCATTTGTAACTGGCTAGCCCTGGGGTTTCTGTTTTTCTGTTTGTTGCTGTTCTAGTTTGCTTAACATCTCTACATGAATATATTTATTAAAAGCAAAGCTGTTTTGTTATATAGGATGAGCATCTAACTATTACATGAAGAAAAAAGTTAATGAATAAAGAAGAGAAGGAATCTCTGGTTAAAAAGGCATACTGTAGATTCTCAGAAAAATGTGAACTTTCACCACTGAGGAAAACGTTTCTTATAGTTTTGTAATGTTACCAATAAAAGAGTAGAAAAGCTACTAAAAAGCATTACAATTTTCATTCAGCCCAGCTTCTAAGTACCTACAGGTGGCTTTGCATAATTGCTTAATCATCATTATTAAGAACCACAGATCTGATAATTATGAAATACCCAGGGATTTAATACCTCTGTGTTTTCTGCAGTTCCAGGGGCTTGGGGTTTCTCCCCAGAGCTACATTACAAATTACAGAGTTAAATTACAAATTTTCTCATATCTCTCAGCAAGAGACATCAATACGCTGCCGTATTTTGTAGCACTACAGCTCCATCTTTCAAAGAACTTCAAATATTATTCCAATGGGGCACAGTCTCTGGAGGAAAAGGTAGGACAGTACAGATAGTACAGAGGCACTGTCACCTAAGTTCACAGTTTTGCAACTGTGCAAAAAAAAAAAAAAAGCAAGTTTTTTTACAGAAACTCATTCATCAACTCTCCATATAAATTCTTGAGGCTGTTTTGCTTCCCCCTCCCCCACCTCCTCCCATTCATACTTTCTCTACTCTATTTTTGTATTTTTTTTGGCAGTACCAAGACCCAACGCTGAAGCCTGCTACCTTGCTTCTCTCCATCCTCTAATGTTCTTGCAGTGCTATGGAAATGCACAGTTTCACAAAAATCAATACAGCAAAAGGAACAAAGTTGATTCTATACACAGCGTTGAAAAAAATAAAGAAATAAGAATAAAAAAGTAATAAGATGAGGGGGAAAGACAATTTTCCACCCTTATCTTTCAGTTACATTATTTGAGGTTTTATAATACAAGATACCAACTTTCCAGCTACAAAGACAACTTGCACTGGCTGAGACTTAAAACTCACCTCAAATTCTCAAACAATTCAAGAAACAAAAAAACCAACTACCAAAGAAAGAATGCCATGAATATCAGACTTGTTATACAGCTTCTAAGCTGTGTTCACAGAAAAGTTAGTCACTAACTACGTAAACTTCATGAACACACAGACTGTTTCCTAAGCAGCAGCCAGCAATTCACATTCACAACTTACCTTAGAATGAAATAAATGCACGTTACGTTTGAAATATGCTCGAGTATGTCCATGTATATTACTCAGCAGGTAATTCTTTTCAGTGTTAAGGCTGTTTATTTATTTATACCAACCCCCAACACGAAATCAAAACCATGCAGGCACACTTTGTCAAACACATGTACTTATTAAACAGTACCTACAAGTCCATCTAAAAAAACAGGAACAGGTTTTTTTAAATCCAAGTTTTGCTTTCTTCTTTCAACATGAGGTAGCATTTTCCCATTTAAATTAGTCTGCTTTTCATGCAACAAGCTTTCTGAATTTAACATGTCCAGGGTCACTAAAGCGAAGCTTAAATCAAAGACGTACAAGAGATACAGAGAACTCCAGTGGCCTTAAAAACTAGTTCAGCATCTTCGTCACAGAAGATCCAGCAGCTCAGGAGCTCAGTCCTTTTCAATTTTTCTATTAATAAATGCTGTAATACCACTTTCTAACAGTCTTTTTAATCACCGCTTGCACATCTCCAAGGAACTGCAAAATTAGGAAATAATAGCCTGTAGCCTACTTCTAAAATTGCATTCTCAGGTGATCAGATACACAATTAGTCTCCATTTCTATTTTTCATTTCTCAGGAGCAATTACATTTGAAGAGTAGTAATTGGTGTCTCTTTCTAAGGGATTCTCTTGTGTACACTGTACATCCATTTCAGCGACAGGGAAATTGCAAAAAAAACATATCTTGTGAATCACTGAAGGGTTTTTTTTGTTTCTAAGAAGTAAATGCACACTGATTAAGATGTGAAAAAAACAACAGTCAAATGCTGTCAAAGGGAATAATAAATAAAATGAGTCATACCTAGATGAAATAATCTGAATTTATTTCTGTCTAAATTGACACTATTGAATCAAGGCTCAGTGCATTTATTTCCATTTTGAAGAATTCACAAAGGACGTTCACTTTGGCAGGCAGAATACACTGGCACAACACATCAAAAAACTAAGTAATCTTCTCAAGGAAGCCCATTTTGCTCTGCCTATCACCACCACACTGTGCTAAATAGTTCTGAAGTCCAGCTTTCAGAAAACGGATTTCCAAAGAATGCATTTTGGTCACTGAAATCTTACAAGTCATATTTTACTGTTCCTACCCTGCAGACACTGCAGGTACTATGTCCTCTTTAAAGTATCCTCTGCCCAATATCCACCCCCAAAATCTACAACAAACTGCTCCTGAGCTAGGCTGAACATCTAACTTAATGATCTCAACCACTGGTTTTTACAATAAAGGGCAGTGAGGCACTGAAACTGGTTGGCCAGAGGTGTAAGATCCGTTCCAGGAGACACCCAAGGTAAGGCTGGACAGGGCTGAGCAGATCATCTAGTGTAGGTGTCCCTGTTCAGCGCCATGGAGTTTGACTAGATGGCCATTAAAGATCCCTTCCAACTCAAACAATTCTATGATTCTTCCAGTTTCTGCAGTGCACAACTCCTCCAATGGAAAAAAGTAAGTTGGTCAAAGTTCAGTACTGTGAGAGAAGTGAAAAGCAATGTTTTCTACATATTGGTGTTTTTCATACATTGGTGAAAAGTATGAAGTGCTTAAATTAATGCCATAACTTCCTTTTCCCACATTACATTAGGACAGGAAGATCTACTAAAATACTATTTTGTCACAAAATGTTCCTTCAAAAATAAGCTTAACAAGCACCTCGAGTACGATGGCTTACTTCTTCACAATTCTACTTAACATCATTTCAATAACACTCTTTACGCTGTAAAAAAATTCATCTGCAAGATGAAGGCATTCACACTTCGTGTTTCCAGTATTTTCTGTTTCCTACAAGACTGAGTTAACAGCCTCTCTACCTACAGAAAGTTATAGTTCAGAACAATAAAGCAAGCACAAGAGAAAGGCAACGATTATAAAGTTTGGGATTGCTGTGACCCGTCTCCAGTACACACTTACATGGCAAAAATGGTACTAGGTACTTGTGCTTTTTGACAGTAGTAGAAAGACATCATTGTGTGGTCTTCAGAGTAATTCCATGTTCTACCCAAGCAGCTTTACTTGTCACACACTCATTGCATTTGCTTGGCAATTCAGTGAAGTGTGTTCTTTAATTCTCACATACACAAAACTCTCCTAAAAGGCATCCAAAACACCTGGGACAAAAATCAGCCCTCAGAAATAACTTTTTTGTGTTTAAGGCCTGGAATCTTCCCCTTGTAATATCGTTAAAATTGTACCCCTGATCTTACAAAGTTGTGAGTCACACATACATCTGCTTCCCCAAAGTCATTTGCTTTGGTAGTATTTCAGCAGGTTTCTTCATTAGGATCCACATGCTTGTAAGGTAAGTGTTGCCAAGCTTGCTGAATTGGAGAGAGGTATAAACCATGCTGTGCAAAAAGCCTGTTGGGTGTAGGAAGCTTTCAGGGACGCAAGGGGAGGTTTTAAAATGGAAAAAATAAAAATAAAAAAAAAGGCTGTACACAAGAGGAAACAGACCAGCACATAATTCTTATCAGTGTGAGAAGTGGGCCAGTAAGTTCAATTTGCAGGTACACAAAGAATCTGGAATACCTGCTTTATATTAGTTGCTGCAGATTTCACTTACAGAAATGATGATGCAAACTGAAGGTGAAGAAGATAAACCACTCTTCAACTGTTTTAAAAGATCTTTGTAAAGTTAAAAGGTTTTAATCTCGGATGTGTGAAAACATTTATATTCCAAGACACAGAATTGAGAAAATCAAGTGCACAGTAGCTGGACAAAAGGAAAGCCAAGGAAAACAGAAAAGGGCATTTCCTCTGAATGGCTGACTTTTCCACAGAACAAGTTTTACTGAGAATGAAGAATGCCTTCTGATCAAACCTACCAACAGCTTTCCTTATGGTCTGAAGTTCTAAAAAACATGACTGTGTTCTCAATGCAAAAATATGGTGAATTTTCAAAGAAACACTTGAGTTTTACATCAACTACTCCCCTCTCTCCCACTAAGCAGCATCACGTCTTTGCACAAATCAAGCAGAATTTACATGAAATGGGTTTGGCACATGCTGTCTTATACCCGGCAAAGCTTAAATTGGAGTTTGCTGGATAGTTATGTTTTCTCCTCACCAGAAGATGTTGAGGTCTTTGTGCATCAAAAGCGGAGGGATGCTGCTTCGATGATAGATGTCCCTGTGGATGAAGAGGATAATTCGGATGTACTGCAGCTGACTGAATGGACTGATGTTCAATTTAAAGTTCTTATTTCTCTGATGATGGGTTCCAATGCACAGATATTTGAGACCGTCCTTTTTCTGAGAACTTCAGTGCTTCTCCAAGCAGATGACTGACAGAGGATGCGTCTTTGCATGACAAATTGTTGAGAAGAGATTTGTGGTGTGTGTTTTAGGGTCACTTCCTCTGTTAAATTCACTATAAAAATATTGGGTTTTATTTCTGATTAGGTTTTAAGCAGCAGGTTTATCTTGAACAACCATCCTCCATTCAGTACAGCAGGTCTTTGGGCGCTCCAAAGGTATATTTAACGTTCTCACGGTGTGGTGTTTTTTCCCTCCACCCCCACCTACATCTACTCTCTGGGTTTGTTCTATGCTAGCAATCTGTAAAGAAAAAAATCACCTTTAGAAAGGCTGAGTAGTCTGTGGGATTTCTGTCAGAGGAGAACATGCCGGGCAATGAAAAAACAAGTGCAGATTTTTTTTGTCCATATGTAGACAGAAAAAAAAACACATTTCCCTACCCCATCTGTAGGACTCTATTTTAATGGGAGATCTACCTGATGATTCCAATTCCCACTTCTATTTGTTTCTTTTTGTAGATATGCATCCTATTAAAGGACAAGTGGAAGTTGCGGAAAGGAAAAATGATATTATTTTACCTCCAAACAATTACTAGCTACTGATTTTCTATTTCAGTAAGACAGAAGCATGTTTTACCACAAAAAATAACATTGTTGAAAGTACAAAAGTTCAAAAAGGTAAAAACAATAAATATCCTGATGCATATAATAAATTTTCCAAGTTTCACACAGAGGAGAAAGCATCTATAGTTGAAGTATTAACATGGTAACACTCACCAACACATTTTTCAGCTAGTTCTCCTAAGAAAGGATCTGACAGTTTGGGGTTCCAATCCCTGGTATGAATTTGTAAAATGTGCTTTCGTGCCTGATTTAAAGATGAAAATAAAGTTATCAAGACAAACCCTTGTCAGAAGATTTGAATATATTATTTCTTCAAATAAATATCAACTTCTTTTCCCTTGACATGTCCCTGAAGTGCATAAAATAGAACTTACCAAACACCTCTTGAGAACAAAGGTTTTCCCCTCCTTTACACTTTTATATGAAGCAGTAATCTTTCCATTATACCAGTTGCATATTTTAATTGTTTTATCAATACCAGTATTACATGTGAATTGATCACAATTCATGTTCTAGTAAGAATTATCACAACGTTATAGTTGAATGTTTAAGTGCTGTATATGTGATTCACAGCTTCCACTGCCAAATGCCTCACCAATTAATTTTTTGCTGAGCAGCACAGTATATACACATGAGTTGCAAAAGTATTTCATTTCAGAACTGCAAAGAATTCAAACAAGTTAAAAATAAACTTGTTTTGGATGTAGGTAAGTATGAATTCATGCAATATTAAGGCTGAATTCTTAAAAATATAGAACAAGGAGCTGAAATATTCCTCTCATCAATAAATTACCTTTTATGCTTACATATACAATTTTTGTGCTTTCAGTAGTATATATAAATGTTTTCTCTTACTGTAACTTCCAAAGTCCCAAAATTTGACATTCCTTATATAAATTCATACAAAAACACAGGTTTTAGCTAAGCTATCCAGTTTAATGCAAACAGTTTATCTTTGTTTTTGCTGTAACTATATTCTGAAGATTTGGAATTCAGTACAACTCCATATACACTCTCAATGTGTTTTTACTAAACAAGTCTTCACAAAATTTAATACACTTCCAAGAACAAATGCAATTTGCTTTTTTATGAGTTGGCTGTCAGACATTCATATGTTTTAAGTTCAAGAAAAAATTACTTTCAAAGTTTTACCTTTTGATCGGGCAAGTTGAAAAGAAATTCCCTGTCAAAACGACCAGGTCTCCTGAGTGCAGGATCTATAGAATCCAGTCTATTTGTAGCACCAATAACAACTATCTCTCCTCTATTATCCAGTCCATCCATGAGGGCAAGAAGAGTAGACACTATAGAACTAGAAGAGTTTTCAAAATAAATAAATAAAAATGGAGGCAATACCGTAATAATTTTTGCTCTTTCACTCTTAATTTCAAAAAGTACGTAGTCAAAGAAAAACCGTGCTACTATGTCAAGTTTCAAACCAAGAACTCTTTTGATATCACCTGTATTACTCTTAGCATTACAACTCCAGTAGGCACTACAACAAACTCAAACTTCCTTCCTTACAGAACGTTTTAGGGAATGTGAGCTCAGTTAGTCATTTGCTGTGACTCAAAGGGATCTCTTCCATTAACAGCGTATGCATCATCCCATTTAGAGCAAGTGGTGGGGTAACACTGAGTAGAAGAAAGGCGCATCAAAATGAAGCTCATAAACTAGCCTGCTGACCCCAAACCTCCCTCCTTTTCCCCTCATTTGAGTCATGGGAGACGTGCATACAATATGCCACAGTATGTCTATAATATGAGAAACACAACCATGCTGCCTTAATGGGCACAGCAAAACTGAGATTGAGGGCAACCAGAAAAAAATTACATCTAGCAGTAAATATGCTTTAAAAAAAAAAATAATAATAATATGGAAGTAAATCTAGATAAACTTCCACATCACTCAGTCATCAAAAGGACAGAGGAGTTCACTTCATTCATAGAACACTGCAATTGAAAAAAATCTCAGAATGTGTTTTCAGCTGATTATTATATCAGGTTGGTAACAAATAACCTGTTTATAGTACAAAACCAGCAACCAATCCTTACTTGATGCTTCAACTGACAGGTCATCACCACTACAAGTTGATTGACAGCAAATTGCGGTCTGTCTGAAAAGCTCAAAAGGTAATTTTCTGGAGCAAAAAAACCTCAGCAATCTGTCCTTTCTACTGTAATGGATCTTACGCAAAAGTAAAAATCCTTCTTGGAAACTCAATAAAATTAAGCTTTAGAATTTACCAAAATAACATGGTCCTGTGTGGAGGAATTGAACTCTAAGATACTTGCAGATCTCTTCCACATCATTATATTCTACTCTATAATGTATATTCCTTGATAGCACACTAAAAAATAATACCTGTGAATCTGATCTTGTCTACTAGAACGAACTGGAGCCAAACCATCTATTTCATCAAAGAAGATTATAGAGGGTCTCATCAAGTATGCCTGGTGTGCAAGAAAAGAAGAAAAATCAATTCACAATTAATTCACAATTATTCCATCAACATCAAAAATAGTTTATTCTTCTTACCAAGCAATAACATGCTAAAATAACACACACTGCAACACCTTAGTTAAAAGGGGCAGTCTAAAAATAAAACTCAACTTTCAACAATACTGTTTCAAAGGAAACAGATGCATTCTCCTTTAAACAAGCAAGATGGCACCAGTGTATCAGTTTTACTGTCTGAGAGACTCAAGACAGCACAGTGCTCATAAACTGAGACACCTTACACTGAGTTACAGAGAACAGTATCTTATCTGCACATAATCCATTTGTTTAGGCATCTGTCAGAAAACAGCTTGTTTGTGCAACTGTGTCTCACTGCTTGATAAGAGACTCCATCCATCATTTTCCAAGCCCAATGAGGGTACTAAAATGCACACACAGCAGATGCAGTCCCACATCCTCCTCTACGCAGCATACCTTGAATGTGACAGACAACTTCACACTCACTGTCTCTTCTTTTTTTTTTTATTTCCCCTTTTTCCAATTTTTACCCAAACTACTCTGTCCACTTTATTAATGGACAAGTTTAGAGACATCTTCCTCTCAGTTCTCAAAGCAAAATAATGCTGCCATTTGTACACTCCTTTATAAGTTCATCTAAATATATAAGCTATTTAGTATTTAATTTCATTTGCAAGTAATTTGGGTTGCCTAGAACACAGTGCAGATATAGCAGCAAAAAAAAAAAAAAAGCACAGAATATACACAAGATGTATTTTTTTCTAACCTGATCAAAAAGGAGTCGAAGCTGACGTTCAGATTCACCAACCCACTTACTGAGACAGTCTGCTCCTTTCCTCATAAAGAAAGCCACCTTTTTGTCTCCTTGACTGCATTCATTAGCTAGAGCTCTAGCTACCAAGGTTTTACCTGTTCCAGGAGGACCATAGAATAAACAGCCCCTGAAGATAAATGGATCAACACAGTCACAAACTTATTTTACGTCTCCTGAAAAACTCCAAGTCAAATTTTATAATGAAGACAGGGAGCCTGGAGAAGAAAGACTTAAGTACTATTATTACTACTTAATGTATTCAATGTGATGTCATAAAATCTATGTTTGTTTTATGCTTCCATAGATAAGCTTCAAAAAGATTGTTTTACTCTACTTAAATAACTCCTGAAATATTAACTCTTCAGCAATGCTTTAAGACAGTTTCTGTTACTTCTTTGGAGAGATTTTCTCCTTCAAAACAACACAAATATCTCAAAATTTTCCTCTTACTTAGATTATGTGTACCCATTTAAATCTCACACTAAAATGGCTTATTAACTGACATTAAAATCACAACATAACATTACTGTGATTACTTCTATTAAAAAAATAAAATCAGCACTTACCTTAATTTAGTCATTCATTTGACAAAAGGATTGATATTAACAAAAAAAAGTCAAGCTACTAAGGCTGCCTTAATACAATATCTGAATTCTTCAACCAAATCACTAAAAAGTTCACTTTACCACAAAAAGAGTAAATTAGACTCTTGTTAACTCTTCATCCTGTTTATTACATTCTGATAGACAAGTGGAGTAGCAGACACGTAAGTCTATTTTAACTGTAAACACTTGAAGGAAAGAAGCAATCTCCTATGTGTTTTCAACTGAAGCACACTTCAAGTTTAATCAAACTTTAAAAAAAAAAAAAAAAAAAAAAAAAAGAGCAAATACACCTACCTTGGTGGCTGAATTTTGAATTTTTCAAATATTTCTGGATAGAGAAGAGGAAACACTACCATTTCCTTAAGTGCAAGGATGTGATGACTCAAACCCCCTATACTATCAAAACGAACCTTACAAAAAAAGAAAAAAGCAAAGCATGTATAAGCAAGAGCTTTTCATAGAAGAGTCTCTAATTATAAAACATATTCAAAGAAAAACTGCAAACAAAAACACATTCATTAAAAAATACTGTACTAAAATTGCAGCTCAATTAAGTTGAAAAAGTCGACCAAGTCAATTATCAGTGACTGAGGGGAGGTTTATCTGGTTTGCAAATTAAGTATGACAACGATGAATATGAATATCTTGAATATCTACATACATAGCAATCTTAAGCTCAGGCACATCATACCATGTATATACTTCAGCACTTCTAGACATTAGTTTGGTTCTGCTAATAATACAGCAAATTCTTCACAATACACACCATGAGCAACACACATCATTGCACCTGAACAGGTTTTATCTTGAGCCAAACCGAGGGTTCCTGGACTACACTCCCTTCAGTCAGGCTTGCCAGAGATAACAGTGAAGTTCCACACACACCATGCATGAAGTTTGCACAGGACCATGGTCAGCTCCACCATCAGCTCTTATACCTGTTTCCACCCGCTTACAATAGCACACATTTCTCTACTACAGTAATTAAAACCAGCTACAAACAAAGAAATGTAATTGAGAAACAGGTATTTTAGCTCATTTATGTTATGTATGCAGCCTGATGACAACTTAGAGGCCAAGAGCAAGCGCATCCTAGCGCAATAGACAAGTCTTGAAACAATCAAAAAAGATCAGCGAGTTTATAATTAATTTACTTCAATTTCAATAAGAGGCTGTGGTGAATTCTACTTATGCAGAACTGGTGGAAGGAAAAAAAAACTTTTAACTGAACTTACAGATTTATCAACAATCATAGGGTCAACATCAGCCAAGCTTGCACCAACTTTCACACGTTCTCGCAGGATTCCACTAGCTAAATCTTCTGCTCTGAAGTTTAAAGGCAGGCACCTGTTCAATTACAGCAAGAAAAATCAAATATTGTTTTATTTCAATCATTTGGCAGGAATGGGCAAAGACGAGTGAATGGCTTCATCCACTGAATTAAAATGGACATCAGCCTACCCAATTTTCATCAAATTTCAAAACTGTTATTAAGAAAAAAAAAATTCATCAGGTTGAGTTAAAAGCACTTAAGAACAAATAACTAATTCTCCTAAGCATCATTAAAAATTGACAGCATCTAAGATGATGACTTTCCCAGTTTGATAATGCAATAAAAGCTAATATTTTGGTAATTATTCTTCTGTATTTAGGAGTTCCTTAACCATAGCGTTATGCTTGTATATGTATTTCAGTTTGTAGAGCTAGAATGGACATATTTCCATTAAACACAGAAAAGAATGCTGAGCAAAAAAATGAGACACCAATTGCTGGCACTGATGAAATGCATAAATTCAGTGTAGTAAGAAAAGTATTAACAGAACGTATCAGAGTAAGGAAAACATTAAAAAAATATTTAGTTTTAAAAAGTCAAGGAAAAAGTCAAAGTTAAGAAAAATAATAATCTTACAGATCAGCCATAACTCTCATCTGCCTGATCCAGTATACAAAGAAGCTTCACTTACTTCAGCATTCCACCAGCTGAAATGAGTTATGTCTTGTAATCCATCTAAAGCTCTCTCTCACAAACATAGCACTATCACTTTGCAGTGGTTTATTTTCTGCTACATAATAAAAATGAAACCCTCCTAAAGACCCAAGATGATTTGGTACCTATTTCTTGCTCTGGCCATGCTTTTAGATTTTCTTCTTTCAAAACGTTCTTCATCTGAGGAAGTGGTATCGCTGCTGTGAATGGCATGCTTCTTTCTCCTATTCAAATGGCAAAATAAATATCAAACTCTGTTCTCTTCACATGGAACTTTTCACAGTGCTTTTCACAGTGGAACAGCATGTTTTGATTTTTTAATAAAATCAAATTGAAAGAGCAAATACTGTATTGCTCAGATTTACCAGACACACACAAATTCTTGTTGTACTGAGTATCGAAACAATCATGAGGAGGGGATGATGATATCATCATTTACAGTCTCAAGAATGTCCAATATCAACATGAACATCACTAGAACAGCAAATTTTTTTAAGATGTGGTCCAGTTCACATAAATAACAGTGAGTGTCATTAAGTATCCAGTCCTCAACTTGCTGATGTTCGGATAGCTATAAAAAAAGTTTCCCAACACTTTATCCATCTGTAACACAACAGAAATACCAAGATCTGCTTATTCAGTTTGATGCTTCCCTCAGAATATTTTTTTTTTAATTCCATACCTCCTACAGCAAAACTTCATAAACGGGGAGATTACATCTGAACAGCAGAACTTGTACAAACTACTCGTGTGTCATTCACTTTTCAACATCTGTATGACCCATTTCTTATGGCAGTATTGCAGTATTTCAGAAAACTCTCAGAAAATACCATCAATACATTATTAGATTCTCTGTATAGGAAAGTGTCCAATTTTTGAGGTCTTTCTTGGTTTTTGTTTTTTGTTGTTGTTGTTGTTGTTGTTGTTGTTGTTTTGTTTGTTTTTCGTTTTTTTTTTTTTTTTTTTTTTTTTTAACTGGTGTGAAAAAAAGCAGCTTTTTTGCACAAGCAAACAAGGCTTGGCTCACAGAATAACTCCTGCATCTTTAGTGAATACAGTGAGCTGCATCATTTGAAAGAACATGATACGCATTGATGAGAGGCTTTCTGCTAAAACAAAACAAGTGAAGGACCAAAAATTAAATGCATTTTAAAACATATCAAAGAGAACATTACGCAATTGGAAAGAACTTCTGCAAGAGTGTAAAACATCCCAAGAAGTAGAAATAAAATGGTAGTGGAAAAATAAGCATGTTAAAACTGAAGGGATCACAGAATCACAGAATGGCCAGGGTTGGAAGGGACCTCAAGGATCATGAAGCTCCAACCCCCTGCCACACGCAGGGCCACCAACCTCCAAGGATATCTGCTTTCAAACCCTCTGCATCTTGCTAGCAAGTAGAAGTTCAGAGATTATCCAATAAAATGCTGCATATGCATGACATGCAATAGAAACGCTCTCCTAAATGATAAATGGTAATTAATATTTCAAAGGAACTCGCAGGATATTAGGATTCTGCCACTGAGCAGAACTCTAAAGTTTTGATTGAAATTATTATCACACCAACAATCTAATCCAGTTTGCTAAATAAGAGCCTTTCAGCTGCTTGCAAGAGAGCTGGGTAAACTACGGATTTCTTGGACACAAAAGATAAAGTCAAAAATCATTTTCAGCTAACACTGTGTTAAGTTGCTAATGCTACTTGCAACTTGAATGAAAAGAAAGAAATTACTCATTTTTTTTTAGATCTTGTAGAACAGCAGAAGGGCATTATTTTAACTGCTGCTTTAGAATTAAATACTAAACAGAAACCCTTAAAGAAAAAGTTACTGTGCAGTGCACAAATCCCTTCCTGGTACTTGCAGCACACTTGCTTCCAGTCTGCTTCCAGATTCCTCATCACAAAGCTTCTACTGCTATTGTGAAGTGCTGTGAAATTCATTCTTATATGCTGATAAGGATCTGAACCTGATACACAATTCAAGACCCATCCATATGCATGAATGAAACAAACAACATTTCTAAAATCAGAAGGTAATAGAAATGTACCATGCAAACAACCGCGTACCAGAAGGCTGACACTTACCTGATATGGCTTCTTCTGGCAGGAGATCTGTGAATATCAAACAGTGTATTTTCTCTCTTTTTTTGGTGAGCTGGCACTGAATGAGAGAAGTGACAGGTTTGTAACATCAGTTAAAAAAAAAAAACAATAAAAAAAATAAATGGAGCTACAAAAATTGGAGTTTAGCAACAATTTCTATCACTGGTTTCTCTAATAGCTCAAATTAAGAATTTCTCACTGAGGTAATACATGGTTACCACTGCTATGCATTTATCCAGCCATAAATTAGGCTTATCACTCAAAAAAAAAAAAAAAAAAAAAAAAATTAGCAATTTTTCTACGTAATTATTTATTAGGCTCCTTTCTGAGCTCATCTCTTGCCAACTACTTTCCAACACTGAGCCCAGTGCAAGGCAGTATGTGCAAAGTTCAATGCTGCAGCAAGCACTAGAGGTGCCCCACAATTCACACTTTACAGATGTTCTGAGTAATCTCACACACACAGTGAACAAGAACAGGCAAGTACAGAAGTCACTAAGCACTGCATGGGATCTCTTTCAGTGATGAGGAGCAGCCATACAAATCCCCTTCCCAGGCCCACGGTGTTTCCTGGAAGTAAATACAGCAGAACTGTATGAGCAGGGTCCAGTTCCTCACCTATTGGAGGGGCCTGATACCTTTCAACAGTTTTTCTCTGTCTCAGATTATATGGTCGGTCATTTTCTTCTCCTTCAGCTTCTTCTGCTTCTATATCTCCATCTTCTTCCTGAGACTCTGTTTCGAAAGGGAAAAAATTTCAAAACTCATCTTCTTAATACCAGAATTATCCTCACCCTAAAAATTAACAATTTAATGGACATTGAGAATTGTTCCCCTTCTATTAATTAGAACTAATTGGCAAGTCACTAGAAATTTGAAGACCAAGATAAATCTACAACCTATTCTCAAAACCTCTTCCAGTTTTCCACAGACAGTTCTGGAAAAGCAACAGACAGAAGTATAATCAGATCAGTTTTAGTTGTGAAGTACTGCAAATGTCTGCTATCTTGCTATCTTTCTCCTTCAGTAATTATCCCCCAAGTTAAGAAAAATGCTTCTCTCTCTTTTCACACAGTAGCCTGGGAAAATCAATATTTGATATAGCAGAAAAATAACAATAAGATTCACATTGTAAGTTTTACACAAAGCAAATGAACCCACTTCATAATGTTATTACCTAACGTTAATCCATCCGTTATCCATCTGTTAACATGATCTGTATTTCTGTCCCTGGATCTCAGAATTAAGACTGCATTCTTACTAACTGGTACAGACCAAACCTCCTACAGCAAAGTTTCAGTTTGAAATTAAAAGACACTATGCTGTACCCTGCATGCATCCCTAAAGTCAAGTTTGATCCTGACTTCCTAAGGAAATCAAGCATGCTGCTGATAATGCCTTAAAGTTAGCCATTATCCGTTCTTTCTCCAGCATTTTTTGAAACCAATGGCTTGAGCAACATTTTAAAAAGCAGAATTTCAGATCTTGACAAGCCTTCTAAGATTCAGAAAATAGAAAACTATAGAAAATAAACTAGAAATAAACTAGAAAACTATAGAAAAATAGAAGGAAAAAAAATAGAGACTTCAGTTAATACCTTCACAAAAAGGAAGGATGCAGAATTGACTTATATATTCTTTCAGGTAAGTCATCCATGATTAGACAAATAGCGAGTCAATCAATACATGCACAGTTCTGCAGCACATACAACAAATGCTGGTTTCATACACACAGAGGATTGTTAGAGGGAATATGAGAGCAGTTTCAGTTATTTAGCAATACAGAAAACACAGGTAAAGGAAAGCAGAAAACACATATTTAGAAACCACGTTTTGTTGTACTACTTTCAGATAAACTTGAATTGGTTTTATTCAAAGAAAACTACTTGCAGCAATCCCTAAATTTTTACTTTTTTCAGTGTAAACTTCATTAGGTGCTTAATAGATCCAAATCCAGATCCCAAACCAAATTATTCTCTGCAGCTTAATACTTTACTTAATATTTTAGGCTAAGAAGAGCATTGTTTTGTAAATATTTCAGACAAACCCTTACAATCCTGTATAATCCATACCTTCTTCTTCACCTTCTGTGGACACTTCATGGTGGTTCTGAATCCCATAGCTATTTCTCCTCAGTGATTTCCTTCTTCTTTTCACTCGTGAATACATATCCATGTTCTCCTGGAATAAAAGTAACACATACCCCATCAGTACCATCCCATGTCACACTGTTAATGCACAGTTTAGTAACACTACATAATTTCTAGGCCTCAGGTGTTTCTTCAGAGCCCTCCAGAGACAGACTACAAAAGTACTCTCATTCAATAGGTGTTAAAACAAACATCTCAGTATCCAGGCTAATACATTGGTAATAGCAGTATGAGGCTGTTTTAGGCAACAAAATGATGACAGTCCTTAGTTCTGTTATCACACTGCCAGAGCACGGATCAAATCAAAAGAGAACCACCAGAGCAAATCAGATGGTCACAGTAGTCAATTCATCAATAAAGAACACCTGATTTTGCACCCTGCCAAAATACATACCACTTTCATCGACTTCCTTCCAAATTTGAGTTCAGCAAATTTTCTAACATCATCCTCTGATGAGGATCCACAGAGCTACTGGCTCGTGCACAGATGATACAAAAACAAATGTGCTCTCCCTTTATATTGCTTTCATCCAAGAGATAAGAAATGCTGCACTTACAAACTCTGTATCCGTCCACATTCGCAGCCGTTCTACTTCCCCAGAGCGCCTGTTTCTCCTGATGTTAATATTATCCATTTCCTGTAGGACAGCTTCAGCAGTACTGAAATATATGCAACAATTAGCAAAAAAAAAAAAGAAAAAAAAAAAAAAGAATAGTCTTAAAATAGTAGACACATGGAACTCTTTATTGTCCAATAGCTTAGCATATCTAATTATGGTCTGTTATGGTTATTCCAGGGTCACTAAGATGACTAAACATACAAATGACTTAAAATATGGAATTTTTAATGTAGCTTTCTGAATCCAGCAATTAAGGAAAATACTACCTGTAATAAAGAGAACTGAAAGGTGAAGCTACAGAATATAAACTAAAGATTATGCATAAGAAAGAATGCTGACGCTCCAGGTTCAAATTAAACTGTAATGTTTTAGACTGTATTTTTGTGCTTGGCACAGGTTGTAGCATGCAACATTTGAAACTGCTTAGGAAAAGCTTTGCTTTTTATCCACATAATTATGGGACCGGGAAGCAGTCAATGCCTCACAACTGTAAACATTATAGCTTCCCACCTTGGCCTCAGAAAGACAAAAATAAAGAAACAACTTAAAAACTATGAGATCAGTAACACCTAGAACTTCATCATTCATTACTTGAGCTCATTACTCTATCACTTCTTATCTACTATCTAACTAGACTACATTTTCATTCATTATCTGGAGTATTTATTGTTATTATTATCTGGAGTATTATATCATTATTATTAATGTATTATTCATACATTTCATTATCTGGAGTATTTATAAAGAGACTGCAAAGCAATCCTAGGGTATGAGTTACAACCCTGTCCAAGATGCTTTATTGCTAAGGAAGGAAACAACAAAGTGATTAGTGGAACTAACCCAAATATTTGGCTAGCTGTTCTGACCACCTAGTTACTACCTTCTGCAGAGATTATGGTCAGTACCTTCTTGAAATCTACTATTGTTGCATAATAACTGTAAGAAGATAGAAACTTTCACTTGTTTTAAGCTGTTCAAAAGTAAATCTGAATTGGAAAAACCTGTCCAGAAAGAAGTCAATGGAACTTCTAGCCATAAATGTCAGTAAAGATTTCATTAAGAATGCCCCTCTCAATTTTACACAATTCTTCCACAGCATCTGTGATGTGTGATATTTACTGCTTCAAGAAAAGTCATGCTATGGTTCATTACCAAAGAAAGCAGGACTTGGGGGGCCTGGAAAAGTCCACAAATTCTTCCAGGCCGAAACAAACTGCCCAGTACCTAAAATCACTGCTGGCATCTGCTTAACTTGTTCTTAAAAACCTCCAACGATTGATTATTGGAGGCACTGCAGTCAAAGTTCATACACAGACTTCAGTACCACAATTTTATCAAATTACACTATTCATGGTAGACTTTTTCCTGTTGTCCACGAGGAGAGGGAGATTCAAACTGCTACTAAAAACGTAAATGTAAATCAGTACCAATTTGTAAAGTGATATGAAGTAGCCAGCAAGTAAATTGAAAAGAAAATTTAATGAATCAAAGATTTGACAGAGTATGTTTGGCAATAAAGATCATACTTGGCAATTCAATCTTCATATCATTTTTCAAGGGAAGCAGACACTCAGAGATGTGACCATAGAAATCCATTTTACAGGTGGGAAAATTGACACACATTAAGCGGTCTGCCCAGGGCCACGCAGAAATAACAGTTCAAGAACAATATTTCTGGCTCCCATTCCTATGCTCAGACCAGACCGTGCTTCCCTCTCTGACCTACTTTGTCTGCACAGAAAATGTCAAAAAGCGACACCCACCCTAGGTGAATTGTTAACAAACGGTAAATAACAGAGCAAAAACAAAAGCAACAAAAAAGAAAGCTACACACTTTTGATAATTTTATGATCAAAATCATACAAGCAATATCTGGGAAGCTTTCCGTGCATTGTTGCCAATCACTACTTTACATCACATTCAGATATCACTACGTGAATGGGTTACTAAGAGACAAACTAGGGTGTGGGTTTACAGCGTGTCAGCCACCCTGCAGTAACTGCCAACACACACAGCTTTATCAAGGGGGAAACACAAAGGAGCTTACTCCTCACCAGAAGTCCAGTAAGCAGCTTTGCATTTAGTGCATGGGTAAAACTGGCAGTTACAGCAGGGGACCCAGCCTTTAACTCAAACCACAACCCAGCTTGCCTCAACGCTAATAGGTTTGCACAGCAAAACACAAAGATGGCACTGGAAGACAAGGTTTTCTAACTTCATAAAAAATCAGGACGTTTTGTGAATACAACTGAAGCATCCCCACGTACCTGTTGACTAGCTGATCAAACAACAAACTCTGATTCAAAGTTTCAAATCTGTTTTTCCTGGACCGACAACTTTTTCTGACTTCTATATCTCCGTTTATGCAAGCATGGTCCCCATCTCCCTTTTTTTCCCCTCGAAGGGGATGGCTTTTGAGAGCTAAGAGAAATTTGTATTACTACTTTAAAATGCAGTCAAGAACATTTTCACAAACAAGAGTTAGTAAGCAGAATACTTATCAAGGACAATAAACCAGAAGCCATTATGGAGCACAACAAGAGCATCCTTACATTCGCTTAAGAAATATATACTTAAAATTCCCATCAAAGTTGTTTTTTGAACTATTTCTTCAGGGTTAAGTTTGTTTCCTTATAAAATAGATCTTATTTTACGATTGAAATTTGATATTCAAATATCCACTTGATATTTTTAATTCAACACTGATGCTAAATGCACGCTTGGCCACCGGTTTCAATTCTTAGGCTTCCAAATACATTATCAAGACATCAGGTACAATACATTGATTTCACAAATCTGTACCAGCTGCTCTGTACAAAATCAAACAAAAAAGGGGTCCCCCTCCTGATTGCCCCTCAGGCCCCACAATTAATAAATAATAAAATACCAAAAATGCTTCATGAAGTAACATTTACACAGTCAACGTAGAATTAAATAAGACAGTTTATGAAAAGGGGACACAAAGGACAACGTGGCTCTCACTGAGATATGAGATCAGATGGCAAGTCTGGAAAGGAGAATCGTATAGGAAAGCTGTACCAAGGCAGAAGGAGCTGCAGACAAGGCAGGTCTCTCCAGAGCAATAACAAAGTAATGCTAAGAGCCACAGAAGGCCAATTCTCAAAGAGTGTAAGTAAATTACAGACACTAACTGTGAGAGGAAGGCCAAAATTAGTTCCCAATACTAATTTTGAGAATTAAGGTAAATATCATGATCATGGCCAAGAGGTCTGAATTGAGAAAAGAAATGGAACTTCATCTGAGAATGTTCTCCATGTCAATAGAGAGCATCCAAGATGTTAACAGAAGAAAACTGAGCCAAAACAGTAACATTTCAGATCGAAATAGCGTAAGTAATCAGTGAAGTTATTAAAAAATATATGCAACTGAAAGTCATTGACATAAAGCTGGAAAATGTAGAAGTAGGTACTACGGGGTCCACTGAAATGCACTTACATAAGCTACGTCCATTTGGTAGTGTAGCACCAGGTGGAGAAGTTAACCTAGGAAACAATTACAGTAGACAAACAAACATTAGAATTCCTCAGCCAAGCAACTGTTACACAACAAAAATAAAACCTTAGAACTTAAATACAAACTTAAAACGTTGCACAATAAACCAGGACTTCAAAATCATTGTGAAACTAAGAGCAGACTTTTTGTCTCTGAAGATTCTGCTTCTGCCCAACGTCGGAATGAGGGCAAAACTGCCAAATTCCAATTATGTGAATCCTCCCAATTATCCAAATATCTCTGATTAATCCCTCCAACATTCCCTCATGCCATGTCCTACTATTAACTCTCCCTTTCTGCTTCAGAACAGGATCTTGATATAGCTCTTGAAAAGCAATTAACATTTAAGCACTTGGAATAAAGTAGGAGATGCAAAGAAAGCTGTTCTGTAGTCACACACTCACAAAAAGAAAATTTAATAAAATTAAGAACTGAATAGGATTATTTTATGCCTGGAGTACTTCAATCGGTAGGGAAGTAATTTCAGGTTCTCTATCAATACTTTTTAAATTAACTTTTCAGAAAATTAACCTCTACTATTCCACAGCTTAAGAAAACAACATATTCCAAATTCTTCTGAAACGTTACTGCCTAAGCAATTGTTCATTCACCTTTAAAAAACTTCACATTTGTTCACCATTGGACATAATGCTACTGAAAGAACAGTAGTGTGGAATAGAAATGAACAAGAACTCGACAGCTGTGAGCAGACTGTTAGAAGCAATCTGTCAATACTGCTATTAAAAGCAAGTCACAGAATAGAAAAAAATATGTATTTTTAATCTTTTCCACCCTAAGCAGGAAGTACCTTAAAGATGAGTGACCTGCAGTGCACAGTGCACACCAGTACTGGACAGGAAGGGGCACCTTGTTCTCAAACTCAAAAGCTACAATGAATTTCATAGGAAAAAAATAAAAAGAGGAGAACTAAATAATAAATGGAATCTGAGCTTGAATTTGACCAAGAGTTCAACATACTACAAACCATTCAACTCAATAGAAGATGTGGGCTTTAGCTATTATTTTCCTACCAAATACATGAAAAGTAAGGGTTTCTGCAAGGCTTTGCAACCATTTTGCAAATTTTTGAAAGCCACATTTAAAAATCTCATGCACATTCAAGATCCCAATTATGTTCTTCTGGACAGATACTTGATGTTTTTCAGACAACAGAACTGAGGAAATGAAACCTGATTACAATTAAAGGCTCAGCAACGAAACCTTGGCGAAGTCTGAAAGACTCAAGATCATTATTAAGCACAGCACTCCAGATTTTAGCCAAACAAAACCAACAAAAGCTCAGATGCATGGAGGAGTCACAGTGCTTTTTGTCTTAAGTAAAAAGAGCACCAGTAACCTGATTAAGTTCCATCTGACACAGTGATCTAAATTCTCCCAACAGCATTATTTTTTTCTCCTAGCATTCCTAATAAATACAGTACAACTCTATACATGCTAAAAAAAAATGCCATGAATTTCAAATAAACTCAATTTATTCTGTTTTAAAAGCAAAAAGAAACAGAAAAAAAGAGCAGATCTATTTAAGCTTTACAGTTTTTCAAAATATCTCACCCTAGCAGATGACAGCTCTGAAGCAAATTAGTGTCATTCATATATACAAAGTGTATAGAATTCATATCTAGTCATTCATATATACAAAGTGCAAGAAGAACATTTGTTATTTGTACACAAACATGAAATACCCATCTACAAGATCACTATTAACCAAAAGTTCACTCTCCAGGAACATACAGTCTACATCTCATAATTACTTGTAATTGTGTGAAGAACCTTAGGAACAAAAGACTGGCTTTTAAAACTATAAGGAGTTAGAAAATGAAACAAATTACTTCTCTTTTGGATTATAAGTAATTTATTCAGGTCCCTGCAACCAAAATAGGGAAGGGTGACTTTCTTTCCATTGTCATTTCCTGCCTCTCTTCCCTGTTTGTTGGTAGCTCATCAAAAATACCCTCAAGCTGCAGCTCATTGAAGAAATAAGCCAAGTGCATTATGAATATTGAAAGAATTGAACAAACTCTGTACTCCTCTTAGCATCAAGTTACCTGGACTGTCCAGTTGAGATGCTCCATTCCTCTCGCTGCCCAGTACTGCGTGATTTTGATTTGTCTTTGCACACAGGATCCGCATGTTTTGAGGTACGTTTGGCAGGAGGAGATATGTGGCTATCGCTCAAACTACCATCGCTACCTTCATCTTTCTGAAAATGAAGAAGTGTCATTAATTGGCTCATTTATATATCCTTATTAAAAAAAGAAAGAAAGAAAAGAAAGAAATTAAGCTTTGTAAAATGTAACTTTAATTAATGGAAATAGTCAGACGTTATCAATGATAATTAAACCAGACATTTGGAGGGTTAAACTTACTTCCCTATCAAACTCTTAGTAACTGGTTTGCACAAAGTATTTACTATGAAAACATTTCTGGAAACTCTGAAAATACTTAATCTGAAACCATCAACTTTTGTATATATATAGATATTTTTTTTTCCCTGAACAAGCACTGTGGTTCTCTTACCCACTGTATTTTGTATATTATACATGACACTGTTACCCTTACTGTATTGTAAAAGAATTAATAGTGAAATAAAAGACCAAGGAAAATTAATACACTTCGAAACAGAGCAGGAATTCATCTTACTGATATTATCTTTGTATTTAAAATGCTGAAACAGTGACATTGTAATCTCCTTGGATGCCATCCAGAGAGATCTGGACAGGCTTGAAAAGTGGACTCGATGAACCCAATGAGGTTCAACAAGGTCAAGTGCAAGGAGTTGTTCTTGGGTCAAGACAAACCCAGATAACACGTACAGAATGCAGGAACTCATTCTTTAATCAGATGGCAGTGAGGCCGTGGCACTGGGTGCCCATAGAGGCTGTGGGTGCCCCATCCCTGGAGGCCTTTGAGGCCAGGCTGGATGAGGCCCTGGGCAGCCTGAGTTGGTGGGGACATCCAGCCTGCAGCAGAGGTTTGGCAGGGGGTCACCGAGTGCAAGGCCTCCTACTAAAGCAGATGACCTATCCTAAGTTGCACAGGCAGGCATCCAGATGGGTCCTGAATACCTCCATAAAAAGAGACTCCACAACCACACTGAGCAACTGTGCGTCAGAGCTCCATCACCCTCACCATAAAGAAGTTCTTTTGTTTGTTTGTATGAACTTCCTATGTACAAGTCTCAGGCCACAGCTCCTTTTCCTATTGCTACACATGATTGAGAAGAGCCTGGCCTCATCCTTTGCCTCCCACCTCCCTTCAGATATTTATAAACATTAACCAGATCCCTCCTCGGTCCTCTTTTCCCCAGGCTGAACTCCAGGTTACTCCGCCTTTCCTCATACAGGAGATGCTCCAGGCCCTCCAATATCTTTGCGGCCCTTCACGGGACTCCTAGGAAATCCCTGTCTTTTTTCAACTGGGGAGCCCAGAATCAGACCCAGTCCACACAGTATTCTGAAGTGGCCTCACCAGGATGGTGCAGAGCAGGAGGATCACCTCCCTTGACCTGCTGGCCATGCTCTGTTTAACGTGCCCCAGGATACCACTGGCCTTCCTGGCCACCAGGACACACTGCTTCATAAATTCTTAACTCAGAGATACACTCACAAATCTTGGTTAAAAACCTCATGACCTACTACAACACAGTAACAAGCCTCCGAGTATTATATGCAAGGAGATGATGGTGGAAGTCCAGTTTATTCATCCAGCTTAACTGCAACAACAAACCATTCTGTACTACAAGTAACTCAAATTTCAGATCACAAAAGTATTCAAGAAAAGAAAAAAAAAAAAAAACAGAAATGCTTTCTCACAACCAGAAGAAAACTATCACAGCACATTTAGAGAAAAGCAGATGCAGGGGAGCTGCTCAGTAACAGAGCAGACCCAAAGGAGCTCAGCACCAGTGAACTTGCCAAGCTCCTTTGGTCTTGCCCTGATGTTATCTGACCCACCCAGAAACCAAACCAGCTCACTAAGGCCTCACAAGTTCGCTTTTTTCTTCAGCTGGATTAGTTTCTCCGCTGTTTAAAGAGCTGAATTATTTCATTAAAAGATATTAAATTCTAACCACCCATGTTCCTACGTCATTTTAAGTTGTTTTAATCATGGCAGTTGTTTACCTGCAGGTGGAAAAGCAGGATGTTTCTATTATGATTCAATCTTGGAAATCCTTTAACCCTTGTCACAACAAAACAAAATACAACAAAAAGCTGAACAAAAACACGTCCTCTTCTTCCTCATTGCTTCACTTCTTCAGGAAGTGCATCCATTGAACTCAAGTACTTATATTATCTCTATTAGAAGACTACAATTAGAAGTTTACACAAAATAGGATTTGGGCTCAAACCCTCAGACTCAGGCAAAGTGACAGAAGAGATAAGAGCTCCCTTTCCCAGGCACAACCCCCCTGCACCTCACACAATGACACCCCACAAGCCCTGCCACCCAGCTGCTTTGCATGGCACCCAGCACCCACAGAAGAGTTGCTTTTCACAGTTCTGGTAACTGAATAGATTCCATTTGAATACTGTATGTATTTGTTCTTACCCATTAACCAGACACAAGCTTATTTGCAGACTTACGTAAGTGCTGCATTGCTAAAATGTGTGTCAGTAGGAACTTTCTCTGTGCAATTACCAGAGCAGAATGGAAGCAGAGCTTCAAGAGAAGCCACAGAACCAGTTTCAAACCGGCTAGGCCAGAAAAAGAAAATGAAGCTAAGAAAAAGGAACAAACAAGTAATGAAGCTTCATGAAGGGTTTGTGAGCAGGGAAATTCATAACAGCTATTTTCCTACGCTCCATCTCTACCCCTTCCCATGCAAAAATCTTAACGCCTCCCAGGTCTCCTACCAGCACCTTTGTTTGCATTTCTTGCAGTCTCCTGCCTCCAGCCTGGCTGGTGTTCCTTGTTCCCCAGCCATTCCTCCAGGCTATTCAGTGAGAAAAGGCAATGTGGCACTGCAAGCTACTGCCCAGCTTCTGTGCACACTGAGCAGCCAACCAGCAGGTAAAACACAACACCAGCCATCAACCTAGGCACAAAAGGTGCTGCTTTGGGTCTGTGCTTGCTACCGAGTCCTAATCCTCACAAAACACATCACAACTGAGTAATGCTGAGATCTCTACTACTATCAAAGGGAGAACCATTTCGCAAATACAAAGCCAGTCCAGAAGGCAGTTAAGCCCAAATATTAACCTAAGTTAGTACACAAACATACAAAATATCCTAACTGAGGTAATGACTAAGCCACAACAGTGAGAAATCAATCAACATTTAACTGTATCAATAAGTCTAGAAACTCCCTATTCCAGTCAACGCCCCATGGAATCAAATCCTACCAAGACTACATTCAGACTTTTCACCTACCTACAGTAAAACACGGAGATAGAGTTCTCTCAAGTGATGAGCCAAATGGATGTGCATGAACAAGAAAATAAACTAATCTTAATTTGAAAAGCCTTTCTGAGAGCAGTCTTCCCATCGTTTCCTCCCATTTATAGCAGAAGAGGTTTAATGACTCCACTGCACTCAACTTGCTCTCTCAAGAAACTGGGTCTCAAATCATTTATGTCTTTAATGATTAAAAACAGTACTTCAGTTTCACCCAGGAACTTATTACTTAGCGAATGTATGATAAAAGCATCAAACCTAAAAATTAAGAAATTAATTGTGCCACCGTAGAAGTAGGAACCAGCACACTGAATACAAAGCTCCTAACAAAACACTGGCACTGAAGCAAGCCTGCTCACATGCTGAGAGCAGAGCTGCCATCAGAATTCAGAAAATCTTAATTATGCCAGAAACTGCCTGAAAGTGTACCAACATCATACAGCATCTGCACTGAGAGAGGTGGAAAAATAACCAGAAAAACCTGCACAATTCTATTCACCTACAACAAGCAAGGGACACACAAGTTCAGATGTGATCCAGAACCCAGTATATCACCTCATATGGAGAGCAATGTCACTATAATGGGCTTAGAAGTAACTGAAGTTAAGATGAGAGCACCTACAGTCCACACTGGAGAAACAGTGTTCACTGCCATGGAGTATCCTGAGTTGGAAGGGATCCATAAAGATCACTGAGTCCAGCTCCTCCTCCTCCTTTATGGAGGTCTCCAAAGAGCTCCAGAGCAGAAGGCCTCATGAGCTCATTGAATGGAAGGAATCTGGATCCCCGTTCACTGAATAGGATTCCGGATCCTCATTCAATAATTGGAAGGACTCAGGGTCCCAGAAGGACCTTTCCCTTGTATTGGCCCATCTATGGATTCAAGAGTACAATTGAATTTGACAGCCAAAAGAATATTTCAAATGAGTTGTTGAGGTGACAATCTACAGCAAGCCTTGCACAAGTAGTGGCAAACCCTGGAACATAACTTCACAAAAGCACCCAAATGACAGTAATGATTAACGTAGTAAATCAACCCAAAATCATTAAGTAATAAACAACTATATCTGCATACTTTTTATGTTTCCTTCGCATGAAAACGATGGAAAAAAACATTTCTCATCCTCTAATGCACAGATCTCTAAATTACACTGTTGCTTCAGTCTGCTCTTCCAAATCACCACTATGCATAAATGTCAAAATAATAACCTGATATTCAGAAACCTTCAGTACAGTATTTAGAGATAAGTTTTTAAGTTCTGAAGGACCACAAACTGGACATTAGCGAATAACACTAAATTCTCCTTCTCAACTTTTCTATTTAGAAGTGACTCAACTGATGGAAGCCTTTCAGCAAGACTGGAGTGCACGCCACGAAATTCCTCATCTACAAAGGCTGCTTTTAGGGATATCAGAGGGACCAGTTGGCTAAAGCACTATCACTGATTAATTACCAAGCTATAACACAAAGATTACCTGTAGCGCATTGAAGGTATCATATAGAGGACTACAAATTTGGTTTCAGGGGTGTTTTTGGTGGTGATCTTTTTTAGATGGTTGGTTTTTATTTGGTTGGGTGTTGTTTTGTTGGATGGTTTGGTTTTGTTTTTTAAATAAATTGAATCTCCTGGCCAGCAGAATATCTATAGGACTCATCTCTCCTCTACTGGTCCGAATATCCAAAAATAATTACAACGCAGAAGTCTCGGTGGCACAGGATGAGTTATCCAACACTGCCATCTTGAAGTGCACAGACACAAGGCCATCTCATCCTGGATGAAGCAATGACACAGTAATAAAGCACAA